CTCCTAATTCTTATGTTCTTATAATCTATTACAATGCTGTTAAATCCTAAACTGTAATTTACCTGTGGAGCATTGGGTTATGCAATAAAGCCACTAAAAATAACTCAGAACATCCCATAAATGTTAATAATAAAATAATAATAATAATCCTTGCATTTGATATAGCATTTGATATTTTCTCATTCTGTGAAATCCTTTGCTCTGGATTCACTTTGATTATCAGCAATTCTTCTAACAATCGGCTTCAAGGAATAGGGATCAATAATAATATCTCTTAAATTTGATATAGCACCTTATCACATTGTTGAGACTTCTCGAAGCGCTTTACAGAATATACTCTATATTTTGTGGGTGAAACTAATCTAATTTTGACAGTTGTTTAGTAAGGTATACGAGGGAGAAATTCCACCCAGGTTCAGAGGCATTTTACTTATGAGGCATTTTGAAGCAGTGCCCAGAAACTGATCAATTTAGTCTTAACTTCAAAATTGGTTTTCTATATTTCTTAAATGAACCTGTTGAAAACTTTCTTCAAAATTAAGGCTGTTTTTTAAGAATTTGCCAAATTCTGGATGTTCTGAAATGCTACATAGAGTAAATCTAGATCCAGATAGAAATCTACATCAGTTACGACAAGCTTTGTTGGCAGTCCATAAGTCTATTAAAGCTACCCACCTGGTCGCCAGAAAAAATTAGGCCAGTAAATTAAGAAAAAATTATCATTAAATCTTTATTGATGTGCCACTTAAGGCTCGTCCATATAAATTGTTTGTTCAGAACTTCAATCTTGTTAACTATGAAAAAGCACCAGTCACTTGTCGACACTTGTCAATATATCCTCCGAAATGCTTTGGGTTGTCCTGACAATGTGATAAAGCGGTATGTCAAATGTAAGGATTATTAGCATTGTTATATATTTGTATTTTTGGGGGTGTTTTTCCTTTCCCCTGTGAGCAGATCTATCCACCTTTAACGGTGAATCTACATACTGACAATAATAGTAATACTTTCATTTGGTTTAGTGCCTTTCAAGTTGGGAGGTGTCTCACTGCGCTTCACAGGATTTTCTGTGAAGTGGTATAACTGTTTACTTGTGGGTTAACATGGTAGCCCATTTGTGCACAGCAAATATCTCATGAACAACCATGAAACAAATGAACACTTTTATTTGGTGGGATTGTTGACCAGGATAGCACAAAAACTCCCTTCTCCCTACATAAATAATAATGATTCATTATTCGGGTCTAAAAAGCAGGTTGGGCTAATAGTCCATGATCTAATGATGGCCACACAAATGAAATTTGTTGTTGTTCAAACACATGCTTTTTTTTAACTAACCTTCAATCAAAAGAATTATAGTTGGTTCTGTAATTGGTTGCATTGGTTAATTGCATAATCAATAAGATCTATAATGCATGCATGGTTAGCCAATGGGCTAATAGCTCAACCCACATTTCAGATCCCGATAAGAGCTTGGGTTCAGTCATTAGACCATAATTATTTTACGCCATGTTATTACGTGAGCGGAAAGGAACACACTTCATTTGGCACCAAATAATAATAATACTTGCATTTGATAGAGCGCCTTATCACATTATTGAGGCATCTCAAAGCACTTCACAGAATATATTGTTAAGTGGATTGACTGTACCTATCAGACCTGTGCACACAGGAAGGTGGGAGCCCCAGTGATGTCCTCAAGAATACTTCACTGTGCAGGCAAGCAGCATGTCCACACAGTGGTGTGTTGATCTCGCTCATCTTTACAACACTAAATGTCCATGTCAGCATTTTTCTTAATGCAATTGTGTAGTATAAGGTTTTGTAATGTGTGCACTCTGGGACGCATGTTTCCATCAGACAGTTTCATGGTGGTCGACAGCAACAGGATTGTGAAATGTTCTTCGCAGCACAGTGAAAATCAATTGGATTTACTTGTACCAGTAGATGGAGCCTGAGAAAAACTGAGTGCAAATATGAGTGATATACTTGCATTTGGGACATTGCTGTGCGCAAATTGGCTCCTGTGTTCATCTGCAAAATACACAGTCACACCACTTTACAGTGTATTCTGTAAAGTGCTTTGAGACATAGCAATGACATGAGGCACTCTTATCAGTTGCAATGGTTATTATGTTATTATTAGACAGAGGTTCACACTTTCCCTTGGCATTGGGTCAACTACCATGTAATGTATAAGCATCTAAAACAATTACTTATTTTTTTATCAGTAATGATTTTTTTTCCAACATCCCATAACTATTTAAAGACACTTGCATTTGATATAGCGTCTATAACATTGAAACATTTCAGTAATTATCGTTAAGTGCAGTGACTGTGTATTTTTAGGCAAACCCAGCAGCCAATTTGCCCACAGAAATGTCTCACAAACAACTAGGAGGTGACTGATCAGTTTCTAACCATCAATACACATTTTCTTTTCAAAGTCAGGCATTGTGGAATTTGTAATCCATTTCATCATAGCCAGCTAGCCTGTATTGCAATTATGACTCTACAATAACAGATTTACTACGTAAGTTGAAACAATTTCTGCTTCAGAAATAATAAGAATAATCCTTGCATTCGATACCATGGCTTTCAGTTGGAAGGATGTCTCATAGTGCCTCACAGGATATAATGGAAAATGTAGAGACTGGTTATTTTTGTAGGTGAAAGGAAGAGAGTAAGTTAGTTTTGCGTGTAGTTCATATTGTATTTGGTGCTTGAAAGGTTAATAGGTGTATCTACATCTACAGTTCTTTTAATCCTTATGACCCAGGTGACTCCTCATTTAGATCAATGTCTTGTAATTCACACTGAGATATTGGTTAGCCTCTGTGACTTCCATCCCTCCAAGCAAAGATGTGCACCCCATGAAAGGTTGCAACCTTGACCCGGATTCACTGAGTGAGATCCTTATCAATGGAGGTGGACACTTTGGGAGCAACGGTAAAACTGCAAACTGTTTCCAGTTACGTGAGCTTCTTATTTGAGCTGATTACAAATGGAAGATCAATGCCATTTAATCAATGCAATTTCCAGGACTGCATCTGTTCAAACTGGTTACTGTGACAAATCCCCAGTTACAATTGAAGGCAATACTTCCACATGGTCCACCGATCTCATGCACCCTCTATGCTATTTTGGGTCACATCTTGCTGAAATCACATCTGCTTTTCCCAATGTAGTGAGTTCGCAGTTTCCAGCTGGGCTGTCAGGCACGATTATGTCTCACAGAAAGAGAGATAGAGAGGGAGGGAGCGAGTGAGCTTACAGAGAGCAGGGCTGCTTACACTGTAGACAATGTCGAAAGCAGATTCCAACTTTTTTTAAAAAATCCCATAAGTTTATAATTAAAAGTTTATAGAGTCAATGGACCACTTTTTTTTATTATTGGTGAGCAAGGTTAGGCCTTTAACCGAATTAGACCGAATACGTTCCACGTAGAGAATGAAGGTTGACTCTTCAGACAAGCCCCAACCCCCAAAACGTCTTCGAGGCCCTAAGTTGACAAGGGACAATGTGGACTTGAACCATGTCTCCCTGACCACCCGAGCAAATCAAGTAACCAGACAGGTGTTTTTTGACTCTAGTTGGAGATTTCTCAGCATCTACTGTATTTAGTTGTATGCAGAGTACTGGATATGGAGCTCTCCTCACCAACCCCATAAAGCCATAGAAATTTACAGTAGGGAAGTAGCCCTTTCTTCATCTACAGATCCACTGTCAGATACACTGTTTACGGCAAAATCCTAATGAAATTCTTTGAGGCATTTCAGTGACGTGATAAGGTGTTATATCAAATGCGAGGGTTATTTTATTATATTCAACCTTTCATGCATATGTGGGCTCTTTGAAAGCAATTTATTCAATAGTACTCTATTCAATCCTATTATACACCTTTTCTCTGTACCCCATCCCGGTGAGAGTTGTATCCGAGAAGGAATTTGACATTGCTAACAAGTCCCACCCATCTGGTGCAAACTGGCAACTGAGAGAAACAAATTACGCTCTCTGCCTCAAAAAATGTAGCTGTTCAATGTCGGGCAGTTGCTAACCTTTCAATTATCCAAAGCTGAATTCTTCCTATGTACACCTTTCCCTCTGCACTCTCACAGGTAATTATCAGGCAGTGTAACAGAGGAGATAGAAAATAATAGTCCCAGGGACGGCAAAGGTGCCTGTGCCATTTCGATTCACATTGCTCCATGAACCCAATCTATCCAAGATGCATTCATCAGGAAGGTTTATAACAGCAAGGTATAAACTGGTGCAAAAAGGAAAAAAGATGAGAGACTTCAATCCCTTACGGCTGTGCTTTTCCATTTAAATAGTCCACAAGTGCCAGCATCAGTTTGTCACACATTGTACAGTAGTTTCCTATTCAATTGCCACCTTTTTTTTTAATAGGTTCCCAATGACTCAAACTGACTTCCTTGCCCAATCTTCCTCCTCTGGGATCCATCCTTCCGCCACAGAAAATATTCAATCCTGGCATTTATCATGTCAATACCTTAAGACCTACCTCTTCGATGGCGCCTACAGTCACCTCCACCTTCCCCTTCTCCCTTGGTCAGCTACCAAATGCGCCAGGCTGACACCCAACAACAACATCAACTTGCATATATATAGTGCCCCTCATGCAGGGTAGCATCCCAGAGCGCTCGACAGTGGTCGAGCTTTACGCCGAGCCAGGGGGAGGTGAATGTAAGCACAGTCGAAGAGGAAGGTTTCCAGCACGACCTGAAGATGGGGAAGGAGGGGGCAAGGCGGAGGGATAGAGGAAGAGTGTTCCAAAGTTTCAGGGCATGGTGGCTAAGGGAGTGGAGGGCACAAGGGACAAGCAGGTCAAGTTGCCCAACAAGTTGCAGGAAACTCCCGTGACAGCACGACCGTTCTGATGGTTTTTGATGTTCAAGCGTTGCAGGAGTAGCAGCAACCTTTCAGAGTGAAGGCAGTTAAAAGAGAGCGAGTACAAAGAGGAAAGGCTTTATTCTTACCCAGATTCTTTGTACCTTGGTCGTGCTGACTCCACTCAAAGGAGTCCGGAAGCTGGTATGACATCTCTACCACTTTTGTGAAGTTCTTGGCATCTGTTATGGGCCCGCCAGGCGTGATGTACAGTTGGGAGGGCACCTCAGTGTCATAATCCACATTGTCTTCATCCGAATCTGAATCCTCGTCTTCTTCCTCTTCCTCTTCCTCATCCTCATCTTCATCATCTTCATCTTCATCATCTTCTTCTTCTGCAGAATTATGAGAAGATTTTAACCAATGAGTAAAGTCAGCACAAAATACCAATTTATATTTTATAACAAATACAGCTCTTTTCTCATCAGGACATCTCAAAGTGCTTCACAGTGTGGATGGGTATCCGAACAGAGCGTAGGCTTGGGGAGGAAGATGACCGAAAGCACCAACAAGGATGTATGTTTTAAGACATGCCTTATACGTAAGAAAAGGAATGCTTTAGTGCAGCAACTCATTTAAATAAAACAACCAGGCATAAATTACATTAAAAAGCACTGAAGTCTGGCTAGCAGCCCATCGTATTTGCGTTATCTAATTTTTTGCCTTGAAAAATGCTTCTAAGAAGCTTCCCACAGCAGTTTAATTAATGAACAAGCTGCCCATGGAACAGATCCATTATCTATAAAGCAGAATAATGCACCATTCAAGCAACCATTAAACCCCTTTTTAAAACACTTTTTTCTACCTAATTAACTCTTAACTAATTTAATTTAATGCAGCACGCAAAGAAAGTGCATTACTAAAGTCAGTCGGATAGGATTTGGGTGGCATTCATGTGGCTGATCAAAACTCATTTTACGTGAGATAGTAGATCAGGGATTCAACATTCGTTTATGATACATACACCGTACACCTGATAAAAGTTGGTTACTCACTTCAAGGCTGTTTGTGGGATACTGCTTTGTACAAATTGGCAGCTGCATTCATCTACAAAATATACAGCCAGTACACTTTATACTGGAATCCTGTGAAGCACTTTGAGACATTTGACGATATAATAAGGCGCTATATAGTTGAATGGCGGATCCCTTTCTGGGTGTAGTAATTCCTCCCCCTAAAAACATTGGTCACTCAATCCACGACTGTTTGTGGGACACTGCTGTGGACAATTGATTGCCGTGTTTTGCCCACAAAATGCAGTCAATCCACTTTCAAATTCAAGGATTATTATTAAATGAGATGCAAGGATTATGTAATTATAAAAATAGTACTAATTTTCAGACTACATCAGTTGTTTATACTTTTACTGGTTTTGTTTGCCTCCACCAGTATCACCATCGGATTCTGCTGACACCTTTAATAGTTTTTGAATGTAAAACTCCCTATTGCTATAACCATTGTTGTTCTATTTATTTCATTCCTCTCCATTTCCCCAATGAGGGAGAGCCAACGCCGACCACTACAACAATTTTACACCGCACTTATACCGCACCTTTCACGTCAGGAGAACGTCTCAAAGTGTTTTAGAAAGGTAGTTCGAGAGCCTGAATTGGTTGGTAGACAAGAGGGGAGGTGGCTGAAGTTGCGATCAAAGCGATGGGTCCTTAGATGGGACCGAATGGAACGCTCTTTAGAAGAGAATGCTCTTTAAGAGCCAGCACAGACACAAAAAAAAAGCGTCAAAGCAGAACTGTGTAACAATTGCATTTCTGTCCAGCTGACAGCCAGCAAGAGCCTTTCCAACAAGGAATGGATGGCTTCCATTTTAGATACAGCTAAACTGGAGGCATTCCTTTACAGCCAATGGGAGAGCGCAGACCAATTTATTCAGACTCAACGTATTTGACTGTTGCCCGGTGATAGAGAAAGAGGAGAGTAGCATTTTCTTTCAATAGAGGGAGTGGGCGCATGGCAGGCAGCCAGGAAAAAGTGGAGATAGTGCCATGGCCGAGAAGGGTCTGTACAACTAGAGGGTGGCAGCAAAATATAGTATTAAAAAAAAGGCAAAATATGGCAGATGCTGGAAATCTGAAATAAAAAAACATAAGTTACTGGGAACAAGTAGCAGGTCAGGCAGCATCTATGGAGAGAGGAAAATGAGTTAACGTTTCAGGTCGATAACCTTTCATCAGAACAAAAAGGAAGTAGTTTGCCTTCTATCCTTTCCTGGCCTTTCTGTGATTCCTCGTCTTTTCAGATATTCGGTGGACTAATCAGGAGGGCCTTGGTCTTATTGATGGAGAAAGTTTGCTCTCATTCAGGACTTCAGACATTTTGTCAGGACAGCAGTGGTCCTAGAGTCAAGGGTGGAAGCAGACAGATAGAACAATTTTGTTGGGGGGGATTGTTGACCAGAAGAACACTGCTTTCTCTTTTTCGAATCGTGGCTTACACGTCCACCTGAACAGTCACGAGGCGGGACCTCAGTTTAACGTCTCATCTGAAGAATGCGAGTATCACAGAGTGAAATGATGGGAATACAGAAAATCCTTTGTTAATTTGCATTTCAAGCAAATGGCAGCACTACAGCCCCCACGATTCTTAAATTGTGGTGCGGATGGCGGGAGATCACGTAAAGATTGATTCATGTTCTGTGAAGCTCTATGATAATTTGCAGTCTATCACAGATTAGCTGAACAGCATTTCACGTATGCTGCACAATAGAAAATATAAGCATATTAGGCTGTTGAGACAAGCATTCAAGTATTTCAATTTTGTAGCTGAGTTTGCAGTAGCTTGCAAATTTTCTCTCGTTCCCCCCTTCCCCTTATATTTCAATCCTTTTTCAAATTTCGCAATTGGAAGGGATTAGAGCTCTATCTCTCTTAGGCTGTGCAATAAAATTGCCAAGTTGCCTTTTAAAAAAATTACACAACCTGTGATCCTCAGGATGTGCTGTCAGTGCCATACGTGACAAATGTTAAATTGAAAAGGACTAGATGTTTTTTATCAGTTACAAGAAGAACTGAAGAAATATCAAAATGTGCTCTATTTAGAGGTTTTGTGACCTTCAGTACTTTGTGATCTACACTGTGCGATATCTGTTGAATGTCCTTGAACAGGAACACATAGAAAAAAATACTAATTATGATATGTGGGCTATTCTTTATAAATACATTTCATGAAAGTTTTTGATAAAGATTCACAAGATATCCTGTGAAGCACTTTGGGACGTCCTCTGCACGTGAAAGTCGTGGAGTCCTACAGCTCCATGGTTAGAGCACACACCTTGCAAGCGAGAGACCTGGGTTTGATTCCCGGTAGGGCGAAACCTTGGGCAAGTTTTCTTACTCCACACGCACAATAATAATCCCTCAAGAAAAAAAACAATAATAATTTGGTCACTTCAATCCACAACTGTTTGTGGGACGCTGCTGTGTGCAATTGGCTGCCGAGTTTTAACAACAAGAACTTGGATTTATATAACGCCCTCCATGCCGGACGGCGTTTCAGAGCACTTCACAGTAACGGATCCCGGGGCCGAACCAGGGAGAGGGGAAGGAAGGTGACCAAAGGCGCGATCGAAAAGAAAGGTCTTCAGCCGAGACCTGAAAATAGGAAGAGAAGAGGCGAGGCGAAGGGAGTGAGGAAGGGAGTTCCAGAGCCTCAGGGCATAGTGCCTGAAGGCACGGCCGCCAAGTGTGGAGCGGAGGACTCGGGGGACGAGGAGGAGGCCAGACCCGGTGGAACGAAGGCAACCGGCATTATTTTAAGGAGAGAGGAGGTCAGAGAGGTAGGGAGTGCAGAAGAGTGGAGGGATTTGAAGACAAGAGTGAGGATCTTGAAGTCCCACAAACAGTTGTGGATTGAGTGACCAAATTTTAGATGGGAGGGATTATTCACTCACAAATATACAGCCAATTTACTTTACAGTATATTGTGTGAAGCGCTTTGAGACGTCTAGAAGACATGAAAAGCACTATATCAAATGCAAGGATTATTATTATTATTAAAGCTATACCAAATGTGAGGATTTATTTATTATTTATCATGCTGCAAAGGCAAGTTTTTATGTTGCTACGTTTCTTGATAAACAAATTTTGAAACAAGGAATCCTTCCATCGAAAACAAATTAAACTTCATAATAATAACATAGGTCACACATATATAAAAATGTTACAACCCTTCCTCGTGAAATTTTCACCTACATTTCTGCTCTGTGGATCATTCTGTTTGATTTTCACGTGGGCGTTGTATAAATATTTAACTATAGAATTCAACTTCATTTTTTGAAGCAAGGAATATGCTATGAATGACTTTACTTTGTTAAGCTAATCACATGCTCAGCCATCCAAGCCTTCAGCAATTCCCTTGCATCCACTACCCATACCGTGATTTTGCTGCTCGTTTCTGTTGCATTCAATCTACTGTCCAGACCCTCTCTCCTCAGTAAATGTGCAGGTGCTTTTTTCTTCAAAGAACCTTGACAACAGACAACAACAACAACTTGCATTTATATAGCCCCCCCCCCACACACACACCCAGGGTAACGTCCCAGAGTGCTTGACAGTGGCAGAGCAATGTACAATGTATCCAAGACAAGCAGATAACTGTCTGTCCAGCGCCTTGGGACGTCCTCCCGAGGTAAAAGGCGCTATACAAATGAAATTTTGTTGTTGTACTCAGAGGGTAACTCATTGGGTAATGAATGACTGGAACAGGTTTGCCAGGAAAGGTAGCAGAGGACAGGACACTCATTTAAAAAGCAGCTTGACACTGTGATGGGAAGGGTACAGTAGAGTGGGTGTTCTGGAAGGTTGAGATCAGATGGGAAAGACCAATTTTTTTTATAATTGGGGAGGTATTATCAAGACATCTCTCTTGTGGTTTTGGTCAACATTGCCCCCCCACCCCCGCCCCTTTCGGCTCACCCCCAAGCTCGGGCCCCCAAAGTGTCAAGCACTTCGTGAGACATCTTCACGATGTGAAAGGCACCGTATAAATGCAAATAGCTTTGCATTGTAAGGTCAAGATGAATTTATACACCGTCAACCACACTTTTGTATTTCCAGATAGACGCATCATACACTCGTACTTGTATTTGGAATATTTGAGTGCTTTTTGAATCACTCAGATCCAGTAATATTTTGTGAAGTTAATGCGCTTTTAAAGCTTATAATTGTTGACAACCGTTCAGCCCAAATCATTATTCTATTTAGAACAGTTATGGTTCATTGACATCAAAAGCCTTTGGGGTAAATTATTTGGGGCCCCTTCAAACACATTAACTAATTATACATCATATCCTATAAATTAACATAGAACATGTCAGAATTTTTCATTACTTTAATGTTCTTTTTCTCAACTGAGTTCCTCCTCACCCACTCCTCACACCCACTCTTTACAGTTGAGCGGGTGGGGTGGGTACCTTGCTTCTCATACAACCAACAGCGCTTTTCTTGGCTGGTTGGGCATGAGGAGACTTTTAAACAAGACTAAATGAAATTCCTACAATTTTCGCTAAAATTGTCTTGCTGGAGTAAAAAGTGTCTTAGACATAGAAAGCAGAAAGTGACGATAAATGGAGGAGAAAAATGCTCTGTCTGCTCAAGGCAGTAAGTAAGGGAGTTTCTGAGCTATAATAAGCAACGATTAGACACGGTAGTTCTTAAGGCTCGAAAGAAAATGACTCAGAGGGGATCTACAGAGGCATAAGGATAAAATTCTAAATGGTAAATGCAGATCAATGCACCAATGGGCTGAATTCTTCCCACTGCCAGTTCTCTCTTCCCAATCGCCACCCAAATAACTGCACCAGAACCAGAGGTAGGTGTGTGTATGTGGAGGGGATGGGTTAAGGCTGGGAGCAAAGTTCCCTGTTATTTCAACATATTTCCCGGCCTCTGCTACTGTTATTTCAGCATCAGACAATTCAGATTGTTCTCAAGGTTCCTTCCTGTGTGCAAAGCATATGAATTGACCACAATTCTTCATAAGTTCTGTGCATTTGCAGATGAAAAGTCAGATGCCCTTTAGAGATGCTGGAAAGTCAACTATTTTTCCATAGGATTACATAGACAGTTCAGCACGGAAACAGGCTATTTGGCCCAGCTTGTCCGTGCCAGTATGTATTCTCCACATGAGCCTCCACCTATCCTAATTCCCTCTCCCCTTCAATACCCTTCTATTGCATTTTCTCGCTCGTGTGTGAGGGATATACATTTTGTCCCATCTCTATTTAATTCAAATGCATAAAATGTTGATTTCACCGAACAGCAAAGGCAGCTCAGAAGTTGCCAATGATGTTTATAATAATCCTCATCATGTCCAGCCCCAACATAATCAAAATACCTGATTCGACATAACAATATAACTAAACATATCCACTGGATAATTTGTAAACACTTCAATGTTGATGTAAAGACCAACTAGTATCAATATCAACCGGGAAAAGTAACATCAAAAAATAACATCACAAAAATCAGGGACTCACAAGCACATACAGACAATAATCTGTAACAAACCAGATATTATTATAAACTAGCTTGTACATACAGTACTATTGATGTGGCAGTCCCAAGTAATTATAACCTAAGAAACAAGGAACTAATGATCACGAAACGTATCGATCTACAAATTGAATGCCAACAAATTTAGTCACTCACCGCACGACTGTTTGTGGGACATCGCTGTGCGCAATTGGTTGCCGCGTTTCACCACAAAATACACCGTCAATCCACTTTACAATATATCCTGTGAAGCGCTTTGAGACTTCTCAATGACATGATAAGGTGCTATATAACATGTATTATTATTATTATTAAAATCGGTTAACAAAATCGTTCACACACACACATACACACACACACACTGAGCAAAGCTCACAGTCATACCTTCTGAGTCTGCCGTCTCCAAAGTGTAAGCTGGTGGCTCTGGGTGCTGCATAGATGGGGCTGTGGTCGCTGCTAAAGATGCCCACGTGCTTTCCCTTAGCACAGGTGACAGCGTAGAAGGTTTTGTCATGAGCACTTCTGGTGTTTCTGGAGTTATCGTAGGGCTCATCCGTGTGGCTGTTAGGATTGTTTTGGGGCTTGCTGCTTCCTCCACAGTGGAGGGGTGTACGTCATTTCCAACCGGGACTGCTGGTCCATGCTCGGAGAAAGCAGTCGAGACGGTCATTGCTGAGAAAAACAGTTTTACAAAATAACATACAACAACAACAACTTGCATTTATATAGCGCCATTCCCGCGGTTGCGCCCCAGAACACTTAAATACTTCAGTCTCCCCCACTGACGCAGCAAGCAATAAGTACTAATGTGGAACTGCAACCAAGGGGTGAGCTTAACAGCAAGAACAACAAATTACACTTGTATAGTGCCCTTCACATCAAAAAGATGTTCCAGGGCACTGTCCCAGCTCCTCCGTTAACTTCAATGGAACTTCAGCCAAGACCAGAGAAAGTCTTCCTTGTGGGAGAGCTACAATAACTCACCTACTGGATTTCTTATACTGTACTGACCCTGTCTGTCTGTCAGTCTGTCTGTCCATTCATTCATTCATTTAGAAAACATCTTGGAATTTATTTTGTGATATTCCCAAACAAACTGTGGTGTAAAACTAGATATGAACACAGTGCAAGCAGAATGTTTTTTGCTAGGCCTATTATTCAATATTTAACTTGTGTGTTCAAATAAATAAATTTCAATCATACCACATCTTCAGTTTTTGCAGTATAACATTTTGCTTGTTGGTGTTACTTTCAAGAGTACAAAGCGTACACATCTACCTTCTGATCCAAGCTCCTCGGGCGCACTTGATGGTGGCACTGTGCTCCTTGCAGATGGTGTATTTGTTGTCAGCAGCACGAGCATTGGATCTGTAACCTCAGACATCTCGTTGGCTTTTAGTGATGTGACTTGTCTTGCTGGGTTTCCAGCTGTCATTTCCTCGGTCATCTTTGCAGTTCCTGGCTTAGCGGTGGGTAGCATCATCTCAGTGGGTATTGCAGAGGGTCTCTCTTTTGTGGGCATCGCATTATTTGCTGCTCGAAAAGAAGATCAACATTTAAATTTGAACATAATGAGACATTCAGAATTTCCCCCTTGCCCACCCCCTCACGGAACAACCTGACATCATAGAGTTTGTGAAATCAAAACTTAAGAACATGAGAGATTGACAACAAGCAAAATCAGTATCTGAAAGTGCTTGAGAAGAAGATGAGATATTGGGGAGAAATTCCATCCGGGTCTAGATTTCATTCTCCTGATGTAACATTTCAGAACTTCCAGAAGTTAGCGAATTGTTGAAGTCTTAACTTTGAAGTCGGTTTTCTGTAGTTCTTTCAAAACAATTTACATAAAACCAGTATAAGTCTAGACTGTACTAATAATCCTTGCATTTCATATAGAAACTTATCACGTCATTGAAACTTCTCAAAGCACTTCACGGAATATACGAATTCTCGAATTCAAGATCCTCATCCTCATTGCTCCCTCGAACCTCTCCGACCTACTATCCCCCTACCTACCTGCCCGTACCCTCCGTTCCTCTGGCTCCGGTCTGCTCCACATCCCCCGCCCCAACCGCCCTACCATCGGTGGCCGGGCCTTCAGCCTCTCAGCCCCGAGGCTCTGGAACTCTATCCCCCAGTGCCTTCGCCGCCTCCTCCCTTTCCTCCTTCAAGGCCGGTCTCAAGACCTTTCTCTTTGACCGAGCCTTCAGCTCCCCTCTCGACTCTCTACCCCCTCCTCGCTCCCTCCCTTCCCTCCCCTCACCCTGACCATTTCCCCCCTGCTCGGGTCCTGACCCAACTGTACAGCGCCTTGGGACGTCCTCCCGACGTGAAAGGCGCTCAATAAATGGAATCTTGTTGTTGTTGTATACTGTAAAGTGCATGGAGTGTATATTTTATGAGCTCAAAGTCCTGACGTGAGACTTGAACCCGTGGCCTTCTGACTGAGATTCGAAAGTGCTATCAACTGAGTTAAGCCGTGGTGAATGTGAAGGTTGGTAAGTTTCAGTTCTAAAGGAGGGTAACATACAAAACTTTACTATGTGTTTCTCTTTCCCTTTATCTGCTGTGCATTTCCAACATGTTTTCTTTTGGTGTTTAGATTCCCTGCACTCATAGTCTTTCTTCTAATCTCTGCAGTCAAAATATATTGACCCTTATGTGACAAAGAGGAGATGGAACACAGGGGTGAACTACAAATAGAATTGTCAAATGATCTAACCAAGGAAAAGGTAGAAGATAACATAACCTGAGAACAACCCAAGAACTACAAACACAAGCGAAGACAGCAGAATTACTATTCCAGCAGCAGCAGCAGCATAACAAAGAACCATAATAATCCTTGCATTTGATACAGCTCCTTATTACATTGTCAAGGCATCTCAAGGCTCTTCACTAATGATATACTGTTAAGTATAGTGACTGTGAGTAGCTTGTGGATGAACACAGCAATATCCCACAAACAGTCATGGAGTGAATGATCAATTTTATTTGGAATTGTTGGTTAGGACCCCAGGAAAAACTCTGTTCTCTTTTTGAACAGTACCAAGGGATCTTTAACATCCACTAAACAGGCAGACGGAACCTGGGATTAATGTCTCGTTCAAAGCACAGCACTGCATTGGAGTGTCAGGATAGACTATACGGTAAATTAAACATTCCCCTCACACTACACTAATGTAAAGAGGCAGTGACTCCCACTCTGCAAATGCTAAATGGGCTGTAACAAGTATAAAAAGCAGTCAATCTTAGGCTGGCACATAGTTTGACTCTCATTCTTCACAAAATACTCCAAACCTCAGCAGGAAGGAAAATTGCAGACAGAGCAGTAACCAAATTGGAAACATATATGTGGACTGCAACAAAATGGATATGCCAAATTACACCGGATTAAAAAGTAACTGCACTGTGCAATGTACTGCAGCACAATCTGAAAACTAGAGAGAAACAAAGTTGCAGCCTCTACCCTTCCACATCTGTGGGATCAGTGAACATGTACCAGAATCAACGAAGAATGCAGAACCTTGTACACTCTCAGCAAATGCCATCAGCGTGATTCGGTTGGTAGCACTCTCGCTTCTGAATCAGAATGGTTGTGGGTTCAAGCCCCACGTCAGGACTTGGGACTCACAAACACTAGACATTCCAGTGCAGTGCTTGGGGAACGCTTGGGGAACTGAGGTGTCACCTTCCTGTTCTGGTAGAAGTTAAAAGATCCCACGTTGTTATTGAAAAAGAGATTTCCCCCAGTGCCCTGGCCATCAATCTCCCAAACAGAAATTGACCATTCACTTCAGGTTGCTTTGTTTGACACTGCTGTGTGCAAATTTTGTGCTTACAAAACAGTCATTATACTATATTGTAAATCCTGTGAAGCGTTTTGAGATGTCCTACGAATGGGAAAGGAGTTATATCAAATGTAAGGATTATTATAATTATAAGGACCAAAGGCATTTAGCAAACAGGACAGGAAAGTAATAATAGGTCAACTAAATGGAGAAATTAATTTTCTAGACTCAAACTGAGAGTTAAGCTTGCTGCTGTGTTATCTAGGGCTGGACTCAAGGGCAATTGAGCAAATGATGAGCTAAGAGTAGTTAACAAACCTAGAAGTGTGCACAAAACAGGGCAACATAACAGAGGAAAATAATTAATGCAATGTTGAAGAAATGCATCTATATCCCAGACGTATCAATAACAAAAGACCCAGCGGCAAGTAGATATGGCAAGTGCAATGAGACTGCAAAACAAGAATGAGTCAAACACCTCATGATAAAAATAGAAAACAAATTTACAATTTCTCCGTGTTACAGCAAGCCGTAAATTCACAGCTACTAAGAATGAGATCACACAGCGACAAACTCTTGAGTCTTAAATCCAACATGTCGAATTTGAACACAGCTGAGAAGAAACCGAAATAGCAGCCTGAGCCATCTTGGAGCTATGCAGCTTTTAACAGCACTGACTGCATTTGAGGACCATTAAGATAGATGACTTGCCCAAGTGCATAAATGTTAAAATGGCCAAAGCCAAAAGCATTGACTTCACAGCAGCTTAGAGGTTAATGGGTTGCATTTAACTGGTCAATAATTGCATCCTTGGACCAAATTAAAAGTGTTTTGAAATAACACCCAATGTGTTCTAATACCCATGAACAAACAGGGGCAACAATTCCATTCAGTATAATATGCAGTGATTTCTGCCATGATTTTGGCCATGGTATTATATCCACTGATATACACACTGCTGTATAATGGGAAATCACATTAGTGGACCACAGCGAAGATGATGTGTATAACTCTGAATGGAATTTTCCCCGAACAGTGACCGCTATTCTATTGTCTTTTTAAGAACTGTGGAAAATTGGCTTCCAACTTAAGAGAACACGTAAGATTTTTGGAGGGTAAACTACCATAAGTAATTGGCTGCCGCGCTCTGCCCAAAAAATATATAGTCAATTCACTTTACAGTGTATTCTGTGAAGCACTTTGAGACGTCTCAATGACGTAATATGGCTCTGTATCAAATGCAATGATTATTATTATTAAGAGTAAATTTAATGAAAATACAGCCAAGAGATTAAATTTTGAAACAACAGATTAAGGGCCAAGATTTTAAAAATAAAAAAAATTAAGCTCATACTGGAACTGAATGTGTTATTTTTCAAAAAAAAAGCAAGATTTTCACTGGTAAACGTAGATCAGAATTAGACAGATGGTAAGTCTGCTTCAAACCTCTTTGCCATCAAAAACTTGTGCTTGAAGGCTCCTGATTTACTGCTCACAACACACTTCCTTTGTGGTTAGTGCATTAATATATCCACTGCATCTCTGATAATGGTTCCATTCAACATCATACCCTGGATCTCTGCTGATCTGATGTTATTATCCTCGTAAAGCCTATCCAATATCTGTTAAACACCTCAAATCCCAAGAACTTCAGAATATTGTAACCCTAAGTCTCTCTGTTATCAGTCTTAAATGGATTTCTGATCATGTTTCATTGATATTGATTAGCTCCAACATTGATGGCGGTTCATCTAGGTTTACATGTACACAAGAATCTACACATGTAATGGATCAGGAGAGAATAAAGCATTACATACAATGAGTTCGCATAGATAGGCTTATTCACTAAGTAGTAGGCCAGTTGTATGAGCTATCCCTTGCTGTCTAAGCATCGTTACCATTACTAGGAATTGATAGTAGTTTACACATTAGCGTTCAATGACACATTGTCAATCAGAATTGAGCATACACTTGCAACACACTGGTATTTAGGAAGAGAGACTCGATGTTTCAGCTTGTTAGAATGTGCTGTAGTGCAGTGTGATTCACACCCACGATGCCTTATGTGGTGTGCTCTCAGTTTCGCTTTGGTCATCACAAGGCACTGAGCGAAAGTGAGAGGCTTTTTTTGGCTTGAGGGAGACATTCCTTACAGCAGCTGCCACCTGCGTTTTGATTTTAAATTTCCTGTCTGCCTATTCAGGTGTCAGGATGTTAAAGATCTTGTGGTACTTATTCGAAAAGCAAGGCAGTTTCTCCCGGTGTCCTGGCCAACAATCCTCCAGACAAAGTTGGTTGTTCACTTCACGGCTGTTTGTGGGACATCACGGTGCACAAGTTGGCTGCCGTTTTGCCTACAAATTCACAGTCACTACACTTTCAGTAGTTTGCAGTAATTACTGTTCAATTACACTAATTCCTGTAAAACGCTTTGAGATGTCTCAAGGATGTGATAAGCCGGTGTATCAAATGAAAGAAGTATTATTATTATTATTACAGCCATCATGTGACTTCTTGATTAAATAGGCCACAAAGGAGAAGATTCTGGCTGTAAAATAAAGATTCCAACAGTGGCCCTATAACCTTATGAGATAGATTTATAGCTACTGGTAGCAAGCAGACATTTAAAACTTGTGCCAGCAACAATAAATCAATCGTAAGACATTAATTATAAATGATTCAACAGGACAGCTTTTCAGGTAGTCAGCTGAAAGGTAGAATAAAGACTGTTTTAATGGGTCTGAAAACTTTGTTCAGAAACACGCGCCATAAATAATTGCTTTTAGTGGGCTTTGGAAAAGAGGTGGAAACTGACATGGAATTGTTGGAGAGAAATTCCGCCTGGGTCTACACTTATTCTATTAAAGTAGCATTTGAAAGTTTCAGAGAGTTTTGCACTCTGCAAATTGTTTTTAACATTGTCATCTTCTGCAGTTTTTAAAAGAGACCTTCAGAAAAAATTAAGGCTGTATTCAACAATTTGTCAAATTTTGGAAACTGAAATGCTACATAAATAGAATTGAGTCTAGACCCAAAGGGAATTTCTTTCCTTTTGTGTACAAATCAAGTCACTTCATTGCCGTTTTGGGACACTGCTGTGTAAAGAGCCTTTCATGTCAGGAGGACATCGGAAAGCGCTGTAGTGACTGTGTATTGTTAGGACTGTGATGAAGTGCTCATGAAAATAAGGCAATCCTTATTGGGAGTAATAGAGTTCCAGAAGATGCGGGCAGAAAGGTTGAAGGCCAGAGCACCTATGGTGGATCAGGCAGGGCGGGTGACATGGAAACAACAGCAATTATTTACACAGAAGATAGTCAACACCCAGAACAGAGGCCAGGTTGCTAGAGTCATTTAAGGAGCAGCTTAATGTTGTAATGGCATAATGGTAGAGTTTGTATTCTGGAGGGATGAATTCAAATGGAGACAAGTGCCTCTCTGGTGATCTTCAATTTATTTTCCCCAATTAGTGGAGTCCTGTAGCTCAGTGATTAGAGCACTCGCTTCACAAGCGAGAGACCTGGGGTGAAATGTTGGGCAAGTTTCGTTATTCCACATGACTCTGTTTACCTAGCAGTAAGTAGGAACCCAGTTGTTAGTCGATTGGTGGATCGCTTTTCCTGGGATAATAATTCCTTTAAAAAAAATCGGTTCCTCAATCCACTACTATTTGTGGGACACTGCTGTGCACAATTGGCTGTCGTGTTTCGCCCACAAAATATACAGTCAATTATTTTTACAGTATATTCTGTGAAGCGCTTCGGTTCATCTCGAAGACATGATAAGGCACTATATCAAAAGCAAGTATCATTATTATTATCACTTTAATTATGTGGATGTGCAAAGCCAATTTATGCAAACTCTAGATGAACGTATCAGAGGGATGAAGATAAACTAAAGAAGCTACAATTTAGGAATCAAGTTCAGGATAATTGTATTATTATGGAATGTAGTTGGCACAATAATTACTGATTCAGTCAAACATTCAGAGGGAAATTGGATTGGCATGGATTTGAGAGCAGAACCAGAACATTGGAGGGAGGAAAAGCAGAACTTCTCCAGGGACTAAATAAATCAGGTAGAGTTCAGTCTGGATTAAACAATCTGTACATGATTTATAGAAGGAACGGGCTTGAAGGGATCAATAGTCTTTTCTCATTCCTACAGAGAATATAGGAGGAATTACTTCACGCAGAGAGGGTAGTGAGATTGTGAAACTCGCTGCCTGAAGTGGTGGTTGAATCAGATAGAGTAGATGCATTCAAGAGGAAGCTAGACCTTTACATGTGGAGCAGGAATAGAAGGGTATGGGAGGGAGTAAAGGAATGGTTAAAGACTCATGTGGAGTATAAACACCAGCACAGACTGGTTGGGTCGAGGGGCCTGTTTCTGTATTGTACACTCTATGTAAGTCTTTTTCTATATTGTGAATCAAATGAGAATTTGTTGCTAAAAGAACTGAATCCCAGTGGTGAGGTAAGTCTCATTATGTTACTCACTCTTTTCTGCAAATTAATTACTGTGAAGGGTTGGATTTTCCACTGTTCCACTGTTCACATCAGAACAATTTGTCTTCAGTTATTCATATCAGCAAAAGTGTCAAGACATTTCTTTTTATATATAACAGAACACAACTTTATTACGAGATGAATGATTCAGTGTTCCTTTGCAAAATCTTCACTCCATTCACTAGCAGGACTTAAACTTTATTATTTAAAGGAAACCTCTTTGTGTTATCTTCCAGTCAGAAATGATAACGTAACTACATACTTAGCTTCTCACCTGAACGGGCAGTTGGTTTAACGGATATATGAGGTGTGTCACATCAAAAAATTATGTGCTGCACTGAAGTGTGTCAACCAAGACTCCCAGCATATGTGATGTTACATTGAAATACAAAGTTGCTTCAAAACGGAACTAGATAAGTTCTGAGATATATTGAAAGGAATTAAGAGTTATTGGATGATGAAATGAATGTATCAAATGGATCTTGTGGGAAGTTGGATGGGTAAGTTAGATAAGCCAATAATCTACCCGGTCTGAAACAGTTACTATTGTAACAGGCCTTCCTGTTGCTACTAACAGTGGGAATCTGCCGAGGATGGCCCAGGGTTTTCAACCTATTGGTTTACCAGTTCTGAGAGCCTGTGGGGAAGGCTGAGTGGGGGAGAGGAAACTTGTGTGCAGACGAGCAGATCAGAAGGTAGCACAGTGCCTCTCTACTGACTGGGAGGCAACCCCCTCATCCCAGGAAATGGTCTCCAAACTGCTTACGTTTTTAGTGACCTAGGCGATTTCCTTGGATGAGGGTTTGCCTCCCAGTGATTGATAAGGTGCCCAGGGGATTTAACGCAAATTTCTGCACAGGAAACGCTCTCTTTTCGCCTTGACAAAGGAATGCTGTGTGGAGTTGCTCTCCACTGGCTCTGTTTTTGCATGCTTTCTCAATTAAAATTTGGAGTTTGTCAGAAGGCGATGTCAGACAATGGTGAACCAGTAATTTTACCCCACCATACCAGCATATATATTACGCTGTTACTCCAGTATTATGTAGAGTCTATGGTACAGAGAGATATGTTAGAATGTGTTATAATGTATTTAATAGATGGGTTTCTGTGAGGTTGAACTAGCGCTGAAGAGACACGCTTGACTGTTCTGAAATAATCGCAAGGCAAATCCTCAACCCAGAACCTAAAGTCCCAGTGGGTATCATGATCCTAGTTGGAATAATACCTTGCTGCACAGTTGCCAATTAAAGAATATTTGTACCTTCTGAGACTGATTTGTCAGGGAGAAGTGTTGTTGGCATTGCAGGTCTCATACCAGAAGTCCCTGTTCTTCCTATTAGCCTTGCTGACCAACCCTTGTGTTGTTTCTTAGTGGTTCCACTCATAGCCCTTGAGTTGGTTACTTGCATTGGATGGACTGTTTTCAACATGGTTTCTATAGGTAATGTAGTCCCTGTAGAGTCTGATGAGACCTGGGCTGGGTTGATAGTCAACTTGATCTCTGTTGTAACTCTGGGTGTTGAGGTAACCTGGAAGGTTTTGGGTGCCTTGCTGTCTGTAACTGCATTTGCTGTTGTGGCCATGATTTCGTTCATGTCTTTGTCTGAATTTCCGCTGATTGTCTTCCAGGCGAGGTAATTGCTTTCTGGTTCACTTGTTATTGCTGCTGTCACTTCATTGTTCCTCAGACTCTCTGAATTTGTAGTGGTGAATTCTGAGCCGTCCGACATTTCAGACTTCATTACAGAAACAGTTTTGTGTGCGGTGCTTACAGTGAGCACCGTCTTGCTGGTCAGAGGTAAAGCAGTAGTGTCATGGCTATTCAGCATCCCAAAGCTTTCTGTGCTTGAGTCAGTAATCCAAGTGGTCTCCAAACTACTTAGGTTTTTAGTGACCTGGCTGAATGCAGTTGAAGCTGTGACTTGATACGACATGTTTTCCTTAATCTTGACTGGTTCTTCGGCTGTCGATGTGCTGTCGTTGGCTGTAACACTGTGTAGCTGCAGTGATCCTAATGTTGGAAAAGCAGTGGGACTAAGTGAACCACTCTCCTTGGCGTGATCAGAAGAGGAGCTTGTAGTTAAGGTGGTTATCAAATCTTTCGGTTTGGGCTGCAAATCTTCACTCAAATCCTTATTGTTCGCACTGACATTGAATGGTTTCTGAGATGGCAGCAGTGTGGTGGGCAATACAACATTGAGGTTGATTGTAGTCAGTAAACTTTTATCTCCTGTCTTATCGGTTTGCTGCTTTGCTTCTTCCTGACCAATGCCAGGACTTACTGATGGAGTTGGCGTTCCTAATGAGGGGTCAGGAATCTCTCTCGATTCTTCATATGCTTCTGTGGCATTGCTCATACGGTCACTGTTCTGAGTTTGGTTTGCCAGCACCTCCAGCTGAGCCGTAGCAACTACAAATGTTTGTAAGCTCCTTTTTTGGTCCCTGGGAATGGGAGAGCCTATCAGGCTGGGTAAGCAGATGGTGAAGATAAGCACACACGTGTGAAACTCCACCAATCTCATCGTGGACCAGGTTGAGTGCGAAGATCAAAAAAATACACCTGGGGAGAAATCTGAAACAAAATTTACAAACACTGTTGCTGATTTAAAAATGCCACATGACAGAGATAGAATAGTAATACAGCATTAATATAATGTAAAACGAAGCCTTCAATGCAGCAAAACATATTGCTTCAAGCAATCATTTTATGTCTCCCAGCTGCCATATTGTGATGTGTATCCATTCAGCAAACACTGGCCTGTTTCGCCTGCCCTGCTCGACCTGTGGGCAAAACGCAGCCGCCAATTGGCACAGCAATGTCCCACAAACAGTTGTAGTACAGTATATATAAATATTGGTATAGTGCATAGTATTGTGCATAGTCATGGATTGAGTGACCAAATTATTTATTTTTTTGAAGGGATTATTACCCCTGGAAAGCAATCCTCCAATCAACTAATAAGCAGGTTCTTACTTACTCCTAGGTAAACAGAGGCACGTGGAGTAACTAAACTTGCCTTAGGTTTCACTTGGGAGGCAAGTGCTTTTACTGGTTCTAACCAATATGCTACAGAACACCTGTAGTTTCAATAAATGGTAATTTATGAAGGAATGTTCAAATCAGGATTATTGTTAAATTAAATATTCTATCTAATGAATAAGGAATCATTGCAAGTCTGGATTTGGATCGTGATAATTCTTTAAGCAGTGTTTATTCAGACTTTACTGTATAGCCATAATAATGCTAAAAGCTTAATCCTCTCACTTTCCCTCTGTGTTGAATGAATTAAGACTCTGTTTCAATGAACTTGCACAGGTGAAAGATTTTTTTAATTACAAATATGGCCTATCTAAGCAAAAACCCACTCATAAACTGAAAGATGTGAGGAATAAAATTCCTCTTATTGCTAGCAGTAAGGGCTTTGAAGATGTGTAAGTTTTTTGGTTATAATTGCACATGGTCAAAGACTTTGCTTGTCCTTTACTAAGCTTTTTCTCACATTTTGTTCCGACTTTTTGCTTATATATCCATTTTTCATTGATCATCCCAGTCACCTTGGGGAAATGAATCATCCAAAGCCCTAAGGTAGTCCTTGCTCGACAAGCATTACCCCAACCCACACTCTGGGGTCCCAAGGATAGGCTCTTGCCAACCTGCACCTAATACTTTCGGAATTAGGGAAGCAGGATGTGTCCCTCAGGGAGATAGTGTGCATTTCATGCCAACATCTACCACTGGAATTTCCACTTGTAGGTGGGATGCATGGAATTCTCAGTTTGGTTTGGATGCATGGTGATGGGTTTCCACATGTCAGACACCCAGCTGGGCTCCCAAAATATCACCCAACGCAGGTCTTGAACTCACAGCCTTCTTACTCAGAGACGAGAGTACTACCAACTGTGTCAGGCTGACACTTGAAAGGAAAGGAAAAACTGGAGAGTGAATACCCCTGCCAGACAATGTGAATCTTCCACCAGGTAGTTCAGCATTATTATGAACAGAAGCTTAGGAGCAGTTAGCCAATGCCATTCAAAGCAATTGCTTGGAGACTCTCTTGAGTGGCCTAGGGTGACTCCAATTTTCCTCACTGTTCCTTTGGGAATATTCGTCGCTTCTGCTAAGTGCCTCCTGAAGGCACGAATGAGGTCAGGAAACTTGTTGTTAGCACTCTTGTTTCTGAGTGAGAAGGCTGTGGGTTCAATAATAACAATCCTTGCATTTGATATAACCCCCTATCATGCCGTTGAGACGTCTCAAAGTGCTTCACAATATATATTGTAAAGTGGATTGACTGTGTATTTTATAGGCAAAATTTGGCAACCAATTGCGTACAGCAGTGTCCCACAAACAGTCGTAGATTGAGTGACCAATTTCTTGGGGGTAGAGGGAGGGATTATTCGACCATTGATTGCTCGACCGAAAAGCGATCCAGCAGTTAACTAACAAATGGGTTCCTACTTAACTGCTAGCTAAACAGAGGTGTGTGGAGTAAGGAAACTTGCCTAAGGTTTCTCCCCTACCCAGGAATCAAACCCAGGTCCTCTCACTTATGAGGCAAGCGCGCTAACCACTAACTAAGGGACTCCATGTGGGGATTTTGATTGCACAGTTTAGGCAGACTGTTCAATACGGTTATTGAAAAGCAGAAGGGCACCACAGAAACACTGTTTTATCATATCAGTTTTCAGAGTTTCTCACGCAGTCGTTTCCTAACCTCATCTGTGCCTTCGAGAGCCTCTCGTCAGAAGCATTCCCACAGAAACGACCATTCCCACAGGATTGGAAAGGAAATTGGAGTCACTCTAGGTGACTCAAGAGAGTCTCCAATCAATTCGTTTGTATGGGCTTGGCGAAGTCTAGAAACTAGGAAGATACAGTACAGAGAGCAGGTTACCCATCATAAGGTACAAAGCAAGGCTGCTGTGAAAAATCAACAAACATATTGCAGTAAACACTGCAATTTTTACTTGCAAAAGCTATCAACTATTCAATTCTCTTTCATAATAGGAAAGAAAATATTGGTACGGACTGAAAAGCAGTTTCAATATCTCGAAAGAGGTAAGGGTGAAATTAAAATGATCTCTTGTGGGCAATGCATTATAATATTTGAAAGAGAACTGTAAAACCCTGTCTTGGAAATTCTATAATTTCATGTTATTTTGTGCAGGAGAGGAAGTTTTTTTAGGTATAATAATAATTAAACAAGGAAAATTCCATTTAAATTCTGGTAATGTCTCCAGTAATTCACACAATTGTTAGTCGATTGACGGATTCCTTTCAGCGGGTAATAAAACCTGCAATAAATAAATATATAATTTGGTCACTCAACCCATGACTGTTTGTGGGACACCACTGTGCGCAATTGGATGCTGTGTTTTGCCCACAACATATACAAATCAATTCACTTAACAGTATATTCTATGAAACGTTTCGAGGGGTCTCAACGACGTGATAAGGCGTTACATCAAATGCAAGGATTACTCGTATAATTATTATTATTATTCCAATGGGGAATGAGATTTGGAGGGCTGTAATACTAAAGCAGCCAGCAGTTTGGGAAGTGTGTCGAGGAGGAAAGAAAAGAGTACATGGGGCTGCTGATCAATTTTCTCGGTGAGGCCACTGCATTTGACACATGTATTAGGGGCAAAGCGATGGTGTCTGCTGTAAACATGGCACACAGCATGAACAGTTTGCAACATACAGACTGAAAGGCACATCGCCCTGGGGACCAGCTGCTAAATGCAATCTGTATACACGTATACGTACATATATATATACATATATAGGCATAACATGTAAGTCTGGATGTTTTTGAAAGTAATTCCTGCTTTAATCTAATTACTGGCGGAATAAAAAAAAACAATTCACCGACGCTTCTTTTGGGTGTGATGAGAAAGGAGGTTTGCATTTTCTTTAAGTGATTGTAAGCTTTTGTTGGTGAGAACAATAAGATAAGATCAGTGAGTGAGTGAATCAGTGAGTGAGTGAGTGAGTGCCCTTCGGATTGCGGTTTGGTCAACACGCACAGATAAACAGATGGATGGATAGATATATTAAATAAATACGCCTTTCATCCTCTCGGATTCAAGAGCCATTGTTTTAATGGGTGTGTGTGTGTGGGGGGGGGGGGGGTCGGGGTGTGGGGTGTGGGAGGGGGGGGGGGGGGTACGGGACGAAAACCCCTCTTTATTTTCAGAAAGCAATACCGATGCAATCCAGCGATCTGGTGAGGGTTTGTCTGATTGCATTCATTTCTTTCCTGTGATGCAGAGAGAGAAAGATACACACAGATGCACACACACACACACACACACAGACAGACAGACACACACACACAGACAGACACACAGACAGACAGACACACACACACTGATGTAATTAACAACTAAATCGAGACTCACCAATTGCAAGCAGCTCAACTCGTACGATTTCACTTACATCTGGATCCCATCGATGGTTGGGAGAGGGTGATGGTGATGGTTGTGGTGCTGGTGGTGGTGGTGGGGGGGTGGTGTTGGTGGGAGAAATCCTGATGCAAAAGCTGCTGCTTTTTTTTTAACACTCGCCTTTGCTCTGGTGTGCTGGTGCTATGGATTGGATAACTAACCCCGTCGACTATCCATCGAGGAATAGATGGCCGGGGGTTGGAGCAGTGAGTTAGTTGCACCGCCCCAGTCAGTCCCCACAATCAGAGGCGCTCAGTGCGCAACCACAGCGTGAGTGGCAAGCAGCAGCCAAGCCAAGGGGCTCTGGGTTCATTCTCGCCTTTCTTCAGAGAAAACATTGAGGGTTGGAGGGGAGGTGTGTGTGTGTGGGTGGGTGTTAAATAAATCACCCCAATGCAACCGGGAAATAATACCGTTAATGGTAATAATCCATGCATTTGATGTATATAGCCGCCTCTTACCACCGCGACGTCCAGACGTCTCCCAAGCGCTTCACGGAATACGTTGTAAAGCGGATCGGTTGACTGTGTGTTTTGTGGACGAAATGCGGCGGCAAGTCGCTCACTGCAGTACGCCACAAGCAGTTGTGGATTGAGTTACCAATTTTTTTTAAGGGATTATTACCCCCGGAAAGCGATCCGCCAATCGACTACCAACTGGGTTCCTACATGCTGCTAGGTAAACAGAGGCGTGTGATAGGTATAAAAGGCATCTGGAGTAAGGAAACTTGCCTAAGGTTTCGCACCGTCAGGTCAATAACTACAGGAATAGGCTCTATTTGAGAGATTGTTGTGCAAAAATTTGCCTGCTGCATTTTTTGCCTACAAAATACAGTCACTACACTTTGCAGTAAATCCTGTGAAGCTGGTTGAAGCATTCTCTGCCCCCCTCACATGTGAAACACACTATATCAAAACAATAGTTGAACACAATCTTAATATGTAAGATTCTAGCTGGCTCAGCAAGTTATCAGACAGCAATTTAATCAAGCATCAGGAACAATTAGAATTAAGCTCAATCGGTTCGCTAACATCAGCAGAAAGCCAATGACTTAAACCCTGCCAATTGTTTATTCTTTATAATAGTCTCAGCCAATAAGCTTCCGGATGGATTGAATGTTCACCAAATGACTGCTTGTGGATCCTTGCTACTGCATTTGCCAGCGAAAACAGTCACTACACTTGACAGTAATCACTTGTGAAACGCTTTGAGACATTTTAAAGAATGAGGCGCTGTAAAAACAAAAGTTTTTATAATTGCAGTGCCACATTGATGCACTGTCAGAGATATCATGCTTTGGATAAAATGTTAAACTACAGTCTCTTCTGCCTGCCCGTATGGACATTATAGATCCTGTGGCACTATTCAAAAAGAGAAGGGGCTTTCTCCCACTGACCCAGGCAACATTCCTGCAAAGTAAATTGGTAATTCACCTTCTTTGTGTTTTGTGGGATATTGTTGTGAGCAAATTAGCTCCTGCTTTCACCTACAAATAGTCACTACACTTAATCACTGAATCACTGTATTGATGTTGAAATTCCACAGAGAAGTGGTAAATCACAAATAAGGAAGGAGTTCTAGTGGTTGGGAGGTGGAAAGTTCGGGCACCAATGGTGTTGTAGGCGGTCGGATGTACAGCAGGCCTGAGTTAGCAGAGCAGAGGGAGCAAGCAGAAGAATGGGGTTGGAGAAAGGAACAAAGAATAGGAAAGTGCTAAGGTGTGAAGGTGAGTGTGAGAACCTTGAAGTCAATCCATTTGGGAGTTAAAAAGCCGGTGGAGCCTATTGAGGACTGGGGCAATGGGCATGCAGTTTTGTGTACATGAGAATGCAGATGGCCAGTGGTTTGGATCAGATGGAGCTTATGAATGGTACAACAAGGCAGACTGATGGAAAAGTCTATTTGAGAGATAACAAAGGCGTGAATGAGGGGTTTCTGCAGCATTTGGTTTCAACAGTGGTAGTGAACTGTTTGGAATAAATGTTAATTTTAAAAAACTTCAATAAATTTGGAGACAGATCAATCTGTTGCTCTGCCACACGTTGACTTTTTCTGCCTCTAGACTGTTAACAGTCTACTGCCAACAGTAACATCGGAGAAAAGTATTCAATATTTTCCAGAGAATGTTGCATAGCTCAGCCTCCTTGTAAAGCTGGTTTGCATTCAGTATTGGCATTGGATCAGTTGCACAACACAGGAAAAGCTGCTTACAGACCAGCTCTTTGCAGCAGTCCAACTCACTTGCTGTGAAGTCAGGAGACAGCAATCCTGAATTTAACATGGAGGCAAACTCTAGTACAGTACCACGGGCTGGAGAGAGCCATAGCGACATATTGAAGGGATCATAGATGAGCAAGCTGATATCCCACAATTGGTTCATGATATAACTATACTGTGATTACCAGTGCTGTAGAGGAAAGACTTTAGCCATTTAATCTATATGTGGAAAAGCTTCTTCTCCATTTTACTCTCCCTTTCATTTGCTTTTTTCAATTTCTGTCTGCTTTTTTTTGCTTTCAATTTTCTTCCTGTTGCTGATTCTACTAGGCTCTGTCTCAACAACTCACATTCCTTTGTTTGTTTTTGTTCCTTTACTTTCCTAAGTTTTGGTGAGCAAGTCCAAGCTCTGTTTCCACCTTTCCTGCCGCTCCCACATCAAAGCTCTCTACGACACATGCTTTCCAGCAGAGTCAACACATTATAGCACTCACATGTAGAGGTAATGTTAGAGCAGATTTACAGTCCTAAACAGACCACTAATCTATTTAAATACATTGGTTTTTTTTCAAGCAAATGGTTTGTATATTTTTAAAGCCAAGCAATGGAGACTTAACAGGTCTGCTCTATATGTGCTAATTGCCAAGAGTCCACAACAGTGGTAGCCAAAAGCTCCTTCCTTCCCTTGCGGCCAACAGCCACAAAACAATTTGGTGTTAGTACAAAAAAAGTGTAGGCACAGCAATATCTCCCACTTCACATTTAATTTCCGACAGCAAGGAGGAAGTTTTTCACGTGAGCCAGAGAAAAGATCCTGCAGAAGATTTGAAGGAGCGCCAATTTTGTTTCCCCAAGAGAATTGCTATCCTTGCATTTGAAAATGGCATTGAAACGTCCCAAAACACTTTGAAGGTGAATACTGTCGAGTGTAATTTTGGTAGGCAATCACAGTAGCTGGTTTGTGCTCAGTGAAGTACCACAAACAGCCGTGAGGTGAACAACCAATGAATCTGGAGCACACCAGGACAAACTCCCTACTCTGTTTAAAGGGTGCAAAGTATGTATGACAATGTAATGCTCCCGGGGGTCAAATACAGCGAGAAAGCTTACAGTCAAGTCTCAAAGATGAAGTATTGTTACTTGGCCGAGAGGACATCTCAAAGTTACATCCAATATAAATTCAGATTTATGTAGTGCGTTTACGCTGAGATGACGCCCTGAGGTGCTTAACAGTCACTGGCTGAGCACCCGAGCTGGGGGTGAGAGAGATGACGGGGGGGGGGGGGGGAAGCACGTCAGAGAGGTAAGTCTTGAGAAGCACCTTGAACGAGGTGAGGTGAGGTGAGGGAGGGAGCGACAGAATGATACGACGTGGAAACAAGCCATTTGGCCCGACTAGTCCGCGTCGCTGTGGATACTTCACACCAGACCCCCGGCCCTCCTCCTATTCCCTGACCCCCATTCCCTGAGTCTTGCCAACACTCCGCTCTTTTTTTTTTGGGGGGGGGGGGCATTTGCACTTTGTACGTTGCGCTTTTGAAGAGATTCCTGAAATACAACAAAGTGGTTGCAGTGTCTCATTGCCAATGTCACCCCAATTGCTCTGCCATATGATGCACAAGAGAGTGGGGGGAGGGGGGAAGAGTCGCCTTTACGCGCGCCTGACAAACGGATCCGACCCAGCGTTTGCGTGCGGTGGCGGTCTTTTTTTTTCTTTTAAAGAATATATCTATCTATCTATTATATACATATTTCCTCGACGAAATGGCTCGAACGCAACCCTGGTGGCGAACGATTCCCGTTTCTTTTGCGGGTTCGCGGGGCAGGCGGGTGGTGGGGGGCAGGCGCGGCCCGGGCAGCTCACTGGGTGCTGCGCGCGCCGGGGCGAGGACCCAGCCGGATGTCGGTTAGTGACGGTTCACCCGCGGCTCGAGCGCAGCTCGGGGGCCGCTCGCGACGCTCCCCGGTGGTACGAGCGCGGCCCCCGGTACCGGCCCCGGCCCCGAGTCCCGGCCGACAGCTGTGCCACAGGATGCCGCTCTTCGAGGGACTGGGCACCGGCGGCGAGAAGACGGCCGTGGTCATCGACCTGGGGGCCGCCTACACCAAGTGAGTGAGTGAGTGAGTGAGTCACGGTTGGGGAGGGACCGAGCGGGCCCGGGCCAGGCCCGGCCCACACTTGGGGAGGGAGGGAGGGAGAGAGAGAGAGAGAGAGTGTGGGTGGGTGGGGAGTGAGAAAGAAAGAGAAAGATAGAGAGAAGGAGGAGAGAAAGAGAGATGGGGGTGGGGGGAGAGAGCGAAAAAGAGAAGGGAGGAAAGAAAGAGTGAGGAAAGAGCGAGGAGAGAGAAAATAATAATATAATAATAATAATAATAATCCTCGCATTTGATATAGCGCTTTTCACGTCGGGAGGACGTCCCAAAGCGCTTCACAGAACACACTGTAAAGTGAATTGACTGTATATTTGTGGGCGAACGCGGCGGAGGGAAAAGAAAAGAGACCGACGACTGCTTTAAACTGTCAATTGGATAACGATGATAACTTTTATTTATATATATAGACACACACGTATGTATTATATATAATAAACGCTCTGAGACGCTATCCTGCGTGAGGGCACGCTGTACAAATGTAAGTTGTGGTTGCAAGATGTGCTCAAAGCAAAAAGGGTTAGAATAGTTTGTTAACTCAGGTGCGATATCTATTCCACTAAAGATAGGTTGACGTTCCTTTTTCTTCTTTTTATAAGGTGTGGATTTGCTGGAGAAACGGGACCAAGATGTATCATCCCCAGTGAAGTTAAGAAGCAAGGCATGACCCAAGTAAGTCCTGTGCTAAGCTTCTGTAAGGGTGACACAGGTTATGTTTGTCAAAATATCAAAAGATTCTTATCTGGGGATGGATGACTGGTATAGGAGCTGAAGTTATCACATTACTTGTGCTACACTGTAGCAGTTTGTCTCTAATGCTATCTTCCCAAAAGTTAAGATTCCTAGAAATCATACTCGAGCTCTGCAGTGATCCGGTCAGGTTGTATCTGGAGTATTGTGTACAGTTCTTTGTCAGCATTATTTAATGGACACCCCCCCCCACCCACCACCACCACCCAGTTCTTAGAGACCGTGCAGAGGAAAGTAATGCAGCTGATCCTTAGCATTTGAAGGATGAACTGTGAGTAACGATTTAGAAAAGATGCAGATCCTCAATCTCAAATAGACATGTTAGAGGAACCCCATATGATTATATTATGGTACAAAGGACTTCTTGAATAAAAGAGAAGGATTTGCTGGGAAATGTATTATTTTGTGGAGTAAATCATTTATCATTATAATAATCCAGTTAAGTAAAACTAAGCCATATAATTGGGCTAATGTAATTTTATATTGTAGCTTTGTCTTAAATGATAACAACACTATGTTTGTAGATTAGACTCTGATTTGTTTATTTCTGTTTTATAGAGTGTTAAAGTAGTTGAGTACAACATCAATACTGAAGAACTTTATGGTTATTTGAAGGAGTTCATTCACATGCTATACTTCAGGTACCCTGCTTTAGTTTTTTTGCTAACTGATGATTTAACAAACTAAAATTTGGTGCAGAATACACCCAAGCCCTTCTCACTATCATTCTTGATCTGGCTATCAGGAAGTGTGCACAAACATCTGAGGTGTCTTCTCTCCGTGTCTGGCATATGTTTTGCATCTTCCTTCTGATAATAATTACGTTTGAAAGCTCACAATGTGGGGAACCATTGAATACAAACCTGAATTCTATCTTCTCCTAACACAGTAAAGTAGAGGATTAATTTCATACATCATTGTGCCGTCCCTTCCTCTTCTAGGNAAAAAAATCCTTTCTGCTAGATTTCTTTAAAAGAAAAGGATTTGAATTATAAGATTTATATTCTTGATTTTTATTAAAAGTATGATATTTACCAGTTGACTCCATTTGAATAACTGAATCAGCTTCTGTTTCCTTGTTGATCTTATTCATATACATAAAATTTGCAATCCATTTTATCTGAATTCCTTGAATAAATGTATTATTTCTTTTCTTTAACAGGCACTTACTGGTAAACCCACGTGATCGCCGTGTTGTAGTTATTGAATCTGTTTTGTGTCCATCGCATTTCAGAGAAACTCTCACCAAAGTGTTCTTTAAGCATTTTGAGGTACGAAGTGGTAAGGGATAAGGTTGGACAGAAAAGATGACCTAGGCTAACTGAAATGGTATTTTATTTAAAATTGTATTTGTGAATGAGTTTTATATTTTCTCAGTGGCTTTCAATGCAAATCATTTATTTATTGACTCAAAATTTTTGTTGGATTTCACAGCTTCTCCAGTTCGTAAATATTGTTGGTCTCTGTAACAAAAAGTAAAAGCAGCTGATATTATTCATAGTTTTTTTTTCATGACCAGTGACTAATTTTAATTCAGAGCTTTGAAATAACAAGTTTGATCCGTCTACCTGAAATTGATGTAAAATGAAATATAATATGGAAGGAAGCATAAGTGGTTGAGTCACCCTGGCCTGTTCTTTAGCATCTCCTAGTGGCCAACTGAATAGATATTGGCAGAAATCTCGCAACAGGCTGGGTTCTCAGCTTGAGAACGTGTTGCAAAGAGCTGAAAGAGTGAAGCACAATATGCTCATAGGGCAAATTGATGAAATTAAAATTGCTGCAGAACATTAGCATTTTCATTGAATTTCAAAGTTGAACTAATTTGTGCTGAAGTAAGCTTTTGTGAATTCTGAGGCATGCCACCAGGTTGAATGTTGCACTGCATGTATCATTTCTGGATGGAAGGGGAGAAGAAAAAAGCATTCTTTGTCATGTAACTGAGTGGTGCCACCTTTGTGGCCACTGATACAGTTTTTAGAGCAGTTCTAGAGAACTGGATCTGAATGGCTTGAGTTCCATATAAAGATTTTTCTTAAAACTTTGGAATCCCTTTGTAATCTTTAGGATTCTGTAATGAGCTTTACAGTTTCTCTCTTTCCCTTTTGTCTAGGTTCCTTCAGTGCTGTTTGCTCCAAGCCATCTCATGTCTCTCTTGACTCTTGGAATCAATTCCGCTGTGGTTTTAGACTGTGGATACACAGAAGCACTGGCCTTACCTGTATCTTTCTAAACTCTGTAGCCCAAAATAAAAAGTTTATCCAAAACTAATGCAAGTTGAAGTAATAAAATTAGGGGAAAAGGAGAAAATGGGACAAGAAGAACTGAAGTGTAGGTTCAAATGTGAATTTCCTCTTCAGAGCATTAGATGTGTACTCATCCTATAGCTCGATGCAGTTTAGTGTTCTGCCATATTGTTGTATGAGCAATTCCTCTTTTTAATGGTAGTTAATGACTAATGTTGTTTTTTATAAAAATCCCCAAATTGTAGAAACCTGTATTCACCTTGTTTCCTGCTTGAAGTTAGACCTTAGCTTTGTCAGATATATGAAGGAATACCTATTCTAAATGCCTGGGGATCACTACCACTGGGAGGAAAGGCCATCCACAAGTAAGCATTTAAATGGTGTAATTCGTGCACGTTTATTGCTGCTGTGCAGTGAAATGTTCAAGTCTGAGATGAAATTCAATTCTTCTCAATCTTATTTTTATTACCAAAGGGAGTTGAATTCCCAGTTACTAGAAGAATGCACTGTGGACACGGGCACTGAGACCGGACAGAGCTTGGCTTCTGTTATGAGTAAGTTTTGAAGTGGAAGCAATTTTCTTCTACCATTTAAAAATTGTAAAGGAATTTAGAAATACTTCATATTTATTGTGGAAAATTTGTTTGGTGATTTTTATATTAAAACAAGTTTCAGTTTTAGAATGTGGTGTTTAGTGGAGTGGGTTCTGATATTGCTCCCTGATAAATTCCAGCAGGCACACTTCCAGATGAAATTCTAGAAGATATCAAAGGTAAGGATTTTTCCTTTATAAAAGTAGAAAATGATCTATGGTGCATTTAGATATTGTTTTTGAAATGGAAATAATAAGATAATACCATGTCTTGATTGTCTTAAGTAAAGTACAACAACTTTCATTTATATTGCTGAGAAGAACAGTAATAATTTTATCAATATAACACCTTAGTATTATATTGCTACTGGGTGTTGCTGGCTGATTCATAGAAAATTGATTAAATATTCTCACTGAGCGGTAGACTAGTGGACATGCCAGCTAGGATATGAACTTGGACGCCCAGAATTTTACCCAGAAACCATAGAATGAAACATAACAAACGTCCCTGATTTTAAATGCAGACATTTACCCAGCAATAAAGTCAAGGATATAGTTTCAGCAGTGTAAAACTATATTGAGAAAGCGCATTTTTAATTTTGAAGGGAATTCAATTATTTAAAATTTCTTGTCTTTCAGTTCGTACTTGTTTTGTCAGTGATCTCCAGCGGGGTCTAAAAATTCAGGATGCCAAGTTTAATATTGATGGAACTGCTGAGGTAAGGATGAAATGACCCTAAAAAAACTAATTTAGCTACAACTTTACGAAGGCACGTGACAGTAATTTGGTATTTTACATCTGCAGCGTCCTCAACCACCTCCGAATGTTGCGTACCCTTTGGACGGAGAGAAGATTTTGCACGTCAAAGGATCAATCAGGTTGGATAAGTTATATAACCTCATTTTGTAAGATAATGGAGTTGAAATAAATGCACAGTGTAGGATAGGGTTTGTGCCTGCAAATTTGTACCCCGAGATTTCAAACATATTGCCGTGAAAAGGCAGTTTACCCCAGCCCCAGATAGAAAGGGATGCTTTGAAGGCAAGTCACCAAAATCCACAAATGTATATTGGACCCCAAAGTCATAGTGAGCAAGATGATAAAGAAATAAGATGAATGCCTTTAATACCTACCACTTCAAGCATCATTTCTTATGCGGGGCAAATTTCTTTATCCTTCAGATAAATTCAATTCAACAGTTTGAATTGGGAAAAATACACTAATTTGTCAAAATGTTTCTGCATTCACTTCTTAAAACCGGTTTTACGAAGGGAAACTGAAGGCTTTAGTTGCAATTTGTTTAGACACTATTACAGACAAATTTTACTATGTTTTGGTTGGGAATCAACCATTTAGGCTTATTGTTAGTGAAGGAAAAATTAGTAAAGAAATCTCAGCATCTACGAAGAAAATTTTAAGACCAATATTGCAGTTGTTCGAAAGCAAACCTGTATAAATTGAACATATATTAAAATGTAAATGTATTATTTTGGTACTATCCTAGGAATATTGTCTTGTGAGTCTGTCTGCATTTTTCACCTTTCTGATGTCTAACTTGAAGATTTGACATTTAACTTGTAATGATGTTCTGAGCTCCACTTCATTATTGAGTACTGAAGTTCGTTGTGATGCAGTTCTGCACTCTTATGTAATGTTTTATGCTTGTTTCATATCTGTAGAGATTCTGTGATTGAAATTCTGTTTGAACAAGATAATGAAGAAAAATCTGTGGCCACTTTAATCCTTGATTCACTTATACAGGTGAGTAGATTTCGTGACCTAAAGTTGGTGACTTTTATTAAACTTTTCTCCATGTGCTCTGTAACAACCTTAGTCAAGAGGACAGTCGCATTGCTGATCACTGTGCTGGAAACTTTCTGGTCTGTGTGGTTCAGGAACTCAAAGGATCATCTTGTTAGTTTAAAAATTGAGTAAGCAATGGGAATACTTGCACTCTGTATTTTAGCACCTCATATCTTGGGTCAGCAAATAATGTACAGTGTAGAGCAGTCGTAAGTTGAATGTTATTTAAATGAACCTTTTTATTTTCCAGTGCCCCATAGACACAAGGAAACAACTGGCAGAGAATCTTGTGGTCATTGGTGGAACTGCTATGCTACCTGGCTTCCTGCATCGTCTTATGGCAGAGATCCGGTACCTTGTGGAGAAACCAAAGTACAGAGAAGTGCTTGCTACCAAGACGTTCAAAATCCATACTCCACCTGCAAAACCAAATTGTGTGGCCTGGTTGGGAGGTAGGAATCTGTCTTGAAAAATCTATGTTAAGAAAAATTCTCTTAACACAGAGAGGTTTCACGAGAGGTTGGCACTTGACAAAGAAATTTAACAGCACATCCAGACAAGAGGTTTCAACGATTGGCAAGTCTTATTGGAACTGAGTGTTGGTTAATTATGTAAATGATTGGAGGAATTTTCAAGTTCAGATATGGAATGGCACAGCTTGATTTGAAGTTATTCTATCTAGATAATGCAATTACTAGTTCATAGATTGTGCCATAATAACAATATCGTGCATTTTGGGCACTGTGCTTTATGCACATTTTATCAAAGGATAGTCATGAGGCTTGCTGTTCCTTACAGATGAACCAGTGCTTTCAAATTTAAGAAATCAATCCATAATTCATAGATGGCTGGATTTTTAAAAAATGTTTGATATGTGTGTAAACTGGATGTGAAACATTGCAGTTTTAATGTCCCCTTCACACTGACGGAATCACTACATTCTGATGAGCACTCTGAGGGAATAATTCTGGGCTGGAGGCAGTACTTTCTGTTGATATCAGATGCATCTCACAGCTGTTTCTGGGCCAAATGTGCTTGAATCTTTGCTTGAATCCAGTTATAGTACACATCTCGTCTTCATAGTTAATTAACAGATAAAATGGAACACTGGAGTATGTTTACTACAAATGATTTGTCCAAGAGGGAGAATAAGTAGGAGGGAGATATTTGTTCCAGAGAAGACAAATAAGGTGACAGTTAACTGTAGAACAAGAGAGTTCTAAAGTAACTAGCAGTTGTTTATTAAGTTGTAGTTTTTAAAAGATTAAAAGCCTCTTTATGTTTCTGTCTGCATGACACTGAATTTGCAAGCAGCTGTACATGCTCTACAATGATATTACTAATCATGTCTGTATAGCCTAGAATGTTGATAATGCCATATAATTTTACAGAAATTTGCATAATAGAAACAGCATCTTAAAAATTGAGATTATTTTCCCTATTATGATCTGTGAAACTTGTTTTGTGCAACTAAATTGATATAAAGCCAACTTGAACATGGCTCACTGTCCTGATAAAGGTACTTTATTGTGTTTCTCTTTTTTAAAAAACACAGAGGTTGCACCTGGTCATCTATTTGCACTTTTTTTTTGCTTCTAGGAGCAATCTTTGGTGCTCTGCAAGATATCCTAGGCAGTCGCTCAGTCTCCAAGGAATACTATAGCCAGACCGGTCGTATTCCTGATTGGTGCTGTCTGAGTAACCCACCTCTAGAAATGATGCATGAAACTAAAGCACCACCTCCATTAATGAAGAGAGCCTATTCCACTGAGAAATAGGTGATCTGGATGTTGTCCTGGAAGCTACTTAACATATGTAACAGTGTTTACTAAGTACATTGTTGTCCTCTTTAGCTAACTGCTGAGATTTCTAGATTGTGTTTCCATATGTTCACTGTTGTATTATGTCTAATAGTATTTGAATATTTGTTGATCGAGCAAAAGTGACATACTCTTAATAGCTCTCAACTAAAACATGTATGCTTATCAACAGCATGTTGTTAAGAGCTGAGGCGAAAGTATGCCATTAAGTTCTTTCATAATCCTGTTGGAGACTTATTTATGCAGCATGCAATTCAAATGGACATGAAGGTTTGTCAGTATGATTGAAAATGGCTTCTGTTGCACAAGTGTATGTTTCTCATCTGGAGTTTTCACCAATAAAGGCTCTGAAGCCACACTACACTAAATGGTTTGAAATGTAGCTCAGTAAAATGTGTTATAGTTTAGTAAAATCAAAGTTCTTTGTTACACATCTTGATGGTTAAGGGAGGTGTAAATTACCAGTTATAGGTAGCTTTTTTTTAAAAATGCTTCAAACCCCATAAATGCCACAAAAGAATATCAATTCAAAGCAAGTGGTTAGCTATTATATCTGTAAAATTCTACAAAAATTTGTTCACATAATAATAAAAAAAAGACAGTGTTGAAATGTTCCTTTGCTTCAGACTGAAGCTTTGCAACCACCTCAAACAGAAGTTTTCTGCATGTGAGCCCATTTTTGAAAAAAAGTTTATGGTACACTGCTGTGCTCAATTGGCTGCCATGTTTCGCCCACAAAATACACAGTCAATCCACTTTACGCTTTGAGATGTCTCAATGAAGTGATAAGGCACTATATCAAATGCAAAGATTATTATTATTTGACATATTGTGTCTGTGCCACTTTTTTTTAAATTGACCTTTTCCATATCTTTTGATACTTTAACTTCTCAGATGCTTATTTAGTTCTCTTTTGTTTAATAAAATGGTGGCCTTTTTTTAAAAAAAAATTCCTGGGTACATTTTTTTAAATATCAGACGCTGCTGGATTAAATCATTTGACCTTTTATAATCTTATACCAGAACTGTTCTCAGTTATTGTTGAGAGAGAAATGTCTGGCATTTGTATATCTTGTGCTTTTTCAGCTCTCAATTTTCTCTCCCTGTCCAGAAGGTACTGACTTGTGTGCAAGTCCGGAGGTGCTGGCCACCTTCTGGTACCTTGGGTAGTTTTTTATCTGCCAGCGAGTTGATGCAGACTCAACTGGGAGGGAGGATTTGGGCGCACAACCCAAGTCTCATCTCCTCTCCTGAAATCCTTACATGTTGGCAGGGTCACAGAATAGCAATCTGCAATGGGACACTGTCTAAATCATCACCTCCCTAATCCAGAGCACAAAGGCCAACACCATTTAGTGCCTCTATTACAACTCCACAAAGAGCTAATTCTGTGAAGTGTATTGATGAACGGGGCAAGTTCCACCCTTGCAAGAGCTTTGAACAGATTGACTTTGGGCTGTAGATTCCAGAGAGAGAGAGTGCAAAATGATGTAGAACTAGATTTCCTGCTTTTTTTGCTCAGCATTTCTTCTGGCTGTATTCAACATTTTTTAAAGGTTTGACCGTTTACTAATGTTCAGTGGTGCTCTCAGACCACGCAGCACTCCACATGCCTCTTTGCAACAAGCAGAGAGCTGTCACGATCTTGGTTGCTAGTTTCTGATGATTCAGCTCGATTTATGGTAAGAGAAAATACAAGGATTAAAAATTTTTTTTTGAAACGCTGAGAACAACTGAAGAAAACCGTGAAATAAGTCAACAGTAACAAGCCCACCACAAAGATCTAAAAACATATAGCCTTTGAAATTAGTTTCACATTGAATTCTTACTATTAAGTGGAGTGTAAGATGTGCTGCAGATTTATGGTGATTGGTGAAGTTATTTTCAGGTTTGTAATTTACTTTTGAAATGTAATTTATACCCTGAGCACTTCAGTGGGAAATCACTACTGACATGTCATTTGTTTTCTTTATGCCACTAAATATAAATGAGCCCTAAACCAACACATCAATACAGTATTTGTGCTATTCTGCGTCAATCCTTACACAAAGAAATGTGCCATTATCTCACTCGGTCACTTAAACTCATTGCACCTAAAATGAATCCAAAAATGACTGCACCATCAGCATTTCCTCTGTGTTAATCCTTTCAGTAAGAAATATAATTCACTTGATCTGAAACCCATTAGTAGGTCTGTGGACAGTTAATATGATGGTGGTTTCTCATCTAGTTCATAACAATTCACCATGATTGCCCATCTGCAACATCCTACAAGTGTTTCTAAAGCTAAATAATTGCTTAGTGATTTTATGAGGATGAGGTAGAATTTATTTTAAAGGTCATCATGAACCTCGCTAAATCAATAATACTTTTAATTAAGCACAGAGATTATTAACTTTAATACATCACTAGATATACAGTAACCAAATATGGTGGTCCATTTAGCACTTATGTTTCAGAACACATTTCCCAACCACAAAACAGTAAGATTACTCTGATGGCTCCGAATATCATTAGTAAGCAAAAGCGAATACGGCATTTGGAAAATAAATTGAGGCTTTCAACTGGTTATACAGTATGTCTTTGGGTAGTTGGCATTGTGCTGTATTTGCAATGATTTCTTTCATATTTACAAAGAAAATTTGTTCCTTGAGATCACAGTAGGGAAAGTGCTTTATTTGATATTGATTGATACCAGCATACTGTGCTGTATTCGAGAGTATCTCGCCTTGCAATCATTTTGGATTTAAACGTGATTTACTTATCAGGGCGAAAAGTGGAGTATTCCTCACTGAAATATCTATATCGTCGTAAAGCTGTAGAATTAAGACCTATTGTACCTTAAACCTGCCCCATCCTTCATTCCCTGGACCTGACCTAGATACTTGAAACTGATTTGTTGAAAGATTAGTTATTAATTGCATCTAAAACTGAATTTGATCTTGAATTGATGACATCGCAGTGTCGAATAGAAGCAGAAACCAATGGAAATTAAGAAACCCAAGTCAATCGTGCCCTAATGTTTGCCTGCAAACAGCAGTAAATAGGGATTCATTCATATAGAAGTTATTTTTGATACAGACAAGTGTGCACAAATTAAATCCAGAAAGTGGGACCATGGGGCATTATTATAAAATAGAGAAAACATTGGAATATTTTTGCTGAAGACTGATAAATGTTTAGAAAAATGTGTGCAATAGAGGCAAAAAAAAATTGACATTCAAATTGAACTTAGCTCCTTACTGGGTACTTTAGGTGAGTAAAAAAATAATATCCTGATTCCCAACTATTATTAATGGACATATCTTCTAGGTAAACTAGGAGCCATTAGTGCGGATGGTGGGGGGGAGTAAGGGGCAAATGGAAATTTCCTTCAAATGATAGTAATGATCTTTGCATTTGATATAGCACCTTCTTATGTCATTGAGATGTCTCAAGGCACTTCACAGAATGTATTGTAAAGTGGATTGTGTACCGTGTGAGCGAAATGTGGCAGACTGGTATACAAAGAGTCATGGATTGAGTTTTTTAAATATAGAAGGTTCTTTTAGAGGCAAATCTATTTTTGGAGATATCTTCCAATTTAAAAAAAAACTTGTGAAGGACTTTCAAGTACAGTAGGCAATTTATTATTTTAAATAATCATATTAAAATTACATTTACATTTTAATGAGCATAGCTTTATCAGTTCTGCTCACCTTGACAAGTACTGTATTACATTAATTGCGTAAACTTGACAATATTAGTAAAAAAAAGCATACATTGGAACTGTTCTGGTATCTCCTATATTTGATATTTGACTTCAATTGCCTGCCCTTCACTTTTCATTGTGCCAAAGGGTTCATCATTTCAATAATTCTACGACTGTCTATCAAGTTTGAGATCACCTGAAACTTGGCCTAGCAATCACGATGACTGATCACCAAATAATTATAAATATTTGAATTGTATAACAGATAAATACAAGTTTAACGTTTCCTCAAAAACGTGTTCACATTTTAAGGTGCAGAACAGAAATCGTTACCTCTGCTGTGCAGTTTCTGACCAGCTTTGACTGACATTATTTACCAATAGCTCAAAATAGTTAAAGCCCCTGGAGATTCGGGAGAGGCTGCAATAATCTTAGTTTCATTAACCCAGAACTTGTGCAGGAAAGACGGGTTTCTGTGAATCTCACTCACGAGTTTGCGTTCCTATAACGAGAAGAAAAGCATATGAGAAACATAAATGACGTACAAATAGGGTAGCAATTTTTTTCCCAATACCCATTTCCAAGGATCCAGCACACAGTACTCAATAAAAATACACATCCAGTTTACTTGGAAAAGTATATTCTACTGAGCATGAGCTAAACCTAAGTGTTCACGTTTGAGCTACATAAAGGAAGAAATCTGAATTTGTAATTCTGTTCAATTTGTAGGAAGCCCAAAGGAATAATAATATTAATCATCCTTGCATTTGATATAGCGCCTCATCACATCATTGAGACGTCTCAAAATGATTCACAGAATATATTGTAAAGCGGATCGACTGTATATTTGTGAGCGAAACACGGCAGCCAATTGTGCACAGCAGTGTCCCACAGACAGTCATGGATTGAGAGACCAAACTTTATTTGGGGGAAAATTTGATTTTCCCGGGGTAATAAATAAGGATTATTACCCCGGGAAAGCCATCCGCCAATTGATTAACAACTGGGTTCCTACTTACGGATAGGTAAACAAGCAATATTTACCATGACATCCCAGATTAATATCTTCTTTCTGTCTCCTCCGCTAATGAGTTTATTTCCATCCAAATGTAGACACCTCACCACCCCAATGTGCTTTCTCAAGGTAAAGAGGCATGTTCCTGCAAGGAAAATGAAGTGTTTCTCAGGTCAGCATTAATGCCAATGCACCACAGTATTAATAATAAAAAATAATCTTTGCATTTGGCGTAGCACCGTTTACATAAGAAGGTCATCCCAAACCAATACAATATTTAATATCATTCCAGTAAAGACATTTTAATTTGAAACAACCGTATTCCATCCCAAAAGATGGTGATTATGAATAGTTTCAGTGTCAGCAAAGATACAAGTTAGAAATTCTGAAAATGATACCCTAGGAATGCCTCTCAACATTTTACGATAGTTATTTGGCAAGGGAATTTACTTGGAAAATAATAAGTGCCTGGGGGCAAACAGGTTTGGGAAAACCCCAGCCAAATACAGTATATATGTCTTTTTTATTTGCAGTATTTCTTAATAGGATTCTTTACTGAGGAATCAAAAGCACACAAATGAGTACCATTTCCAGTGATTAACAGTACATCACACCGACCTGTGGGAACTCTACTCTGATGCAATTTACTTCTGGAGCAGAGTTCTTGTGAGTCAGTGGGAATTCTATTAGGACGCAAGAAATCCCATTAAGAAATACCATAGAACAAGAAACTGAAAGGAAATGAAACAAACAAAGGTTTTAAAAAAAGGTTTCCTAGATTGCTTTAATAAAGATAAACTTTACAATTTCATTTTTTTTCAAAATAGATTATGTCCCAGATTTTTATTCTATCTCAATTTTTGGGGCTGATTTATAACAGGTAATACCAATCTTAACATCAGTTGGACAGCGCACAGACAGGTTTTAGAATACAGTGTCTTAATTCCCTCATTCGCTACAGAACTACTCTATTAACTGTTCATGGTTATATTCTTGAGAGAGAGTCTTTGAACGTTTGTTTAGAAACACAAGTAACTCATAATCTTGTTTTAATAAGTATTGGATAAAATACAGAAATGTCAGAATTTTTTTTTGCACAGAAGGGGGCACTATTCAGCCTATAACATAACATTTATGCCTATTCATACCTGTAAAATCCCAGACTCTGATGGTGCTGTCTGATGAACCAGAACAGATCACTGTCTTGTTAAATAGCAAACAGTACTGGAGAAAATAAAATCATCAAGCATTTAGATATGGGTCAACATTCAACGTGTATGATTTTATCTTTTCCCCCATTAATAACCTAGTAAATAAACAAATGAAGAAATAAGAACATAATAGACCATAATTAGACATATAACAGCAATCTGGTGTCACTGAGTAAAAATAGTAAAGCTCTGTGAGGTCAGTGCATCATTAAGGCATAAGATCAGCAGGACGCAAGTTTGTTTTGTATTCATTGTGAGACACTTTATTCTCTCAAACGTAATGAAAAGCTTCAAGCTGTAATTATATTACAGGCAAATTTTCTCATCTTTGCATTCATTAGACTGGAGTGATCAATAGCCACAGAGAAATATAGGAGACAGAAATTCTGCTAGGAAAAAGTAAATAAAAATCAAGAGAAATAAGGTTTAGGGGCAATTTTTTAATATGGTGCCGATCAAATACTAGACTCTCATTGATATTGACACTTTAATACTTTCTTTGTGTCTGGAGGACTGCATTCCCACAATCCTTTTTACCACATTTTTATGTTACTTACCACATCCCCAGTGTGTCCTTGGCATTTATACAGCAATTTTCCATTGTCTGTTGACCAGATCAGCACTAAGCAGTCCCCTCCTCCACTCACCACATAGCGATAGTCGAAATGACAGCAGTTCACCACTACAATTGCGATACAGAAAAAAGGGCGAAACCTTAGGCAAGTTTCCTTACTCCACACGCCTCCTGTTTGCCCAGCAGTAAGTAGGAACCTGGTTGTTAGTCGATTGACGGATTGCTTTCTGGGGGTAATAATACCTTCAAATCAATAAATACTAATTTGGTCACTAAATCCAAGACTGTTTGTGGGACACTGCTAAGCGCAATTGGCTGCTGTGTTTACCCAGAAAATATACAATCAATTCACTTCACAGTATATTCAGCATACAAGGGTTAGGTATTCTACTGGTATCTAGACTTAGATGTTTTTGTTATCATTTTAGAGGGTTCAAATTTTGAAAGATTGTTAAACTCAGTCTTATTTTTGAAGCTGGGTTTCTATACAGTAGCTTTTAAGAGAACCTACTTTTCAGTATATGTACCTTCGGAATGACCCTTCAGTACAGCTGTACATAGACCTTGTCTTAGATTCCACATTCGTACTGTGCAGTCCCAGGATGTGCTGACAACTAAATGGTCCTTCATAGTCAAGTACTGGTCAGTAAACATTGAGGGAAATAAAAATCATGTTACAATGTGAAATGATTCATGTGTCAACATACATAGATCTGCATGGAATCTACAGCTCCAAAACAGGCTATTCACTCAGCTAGTCTGTGTTAGTGTTTATAGTCACATCCTCACCCTCTCCCTAGCTCTGTCAATAACCCTCTATTCCCTTTTCCCTCATGTACACAGTGATTTTTGTTTTAAATGCATTGCTGTTTTCTGATACTTTCGGATTGAACCTCAGCTTCTGGCAGTCAGTCAGTTTGTTACTTTGTTAGAAACCTGATAAAATATTTTGATTTTAAATGTTGCCGACAATTCAAAATATTTTTTACTGCAAGCAATGATGTGATGACTTACCTTTTTAAGTTGGAAATACGGAAATAAATAATAAAAAAAGGAGTGGTCCACTGAGATCTTTTTGTTAAACGCCGGAAGCTCTCTTATACTGATCACTAAAAATAGCAATTTCTTTGCTGCCACTTTGTAATTGGATTTTATGAATGGTCTTAAGATAGACAACACCCCCCACCCCCCCCCCCCCCAATAACTTCCCTTATTCTAAAATGCCGATAAAAGTGAAAGAGTAATAGTTAATTGCGGTCATTACCTGAATATCATCGTCATGGCCTCTGAAAATGCTCCTGCAACGACCATCCTGGATTGACCAAACTCGAACGGTTCTGATTTACAAGTGAAGGGTTTAGACAAATTGCATCACTAAAAACTGCAGCCCACTGTCACTCTGACATCAATTAATATTAAAGTATTATATTATAAGGGCACATATTGTAAATGTAAATTGTATTTTAATAATATGTGGTTGAAAAGCAGACAAAGCGCACACACCACATTGAAGATAGAGCCCCGTAGAGCAGTGATTAGCACGTTCACCTTGCAAGTGAGAAGACCCAGGTTTGATTCCCAGGTGGAGCGAAACCTTAGGCAAGTTTCCTTACTCCACACGCTTCTATTTACCTATCAATGATCAGAAACCCGGTTGTTAGTCGATTGGCAGGTCGCTTTCCGAGGGTGATAATCACTCAATCCACGACTGTTTGTGGGACACTGATGTGCGCAATTGGGTGCCGTGTTTCGTCCACAAAATACACAATCAATTCACTTTACAGTATATTCTGTGAAGAGTTTTGCGACGCCTCAACAAAGTGATAAGGCATCAAATACAAGGATTATTATAAATTACATTTCAAAAGTGTGTCTGTAATAGTTCTGCATCTAAGGTTCACCTGTCCAAGCTCGCACTGACCACGCTGGTTCCATCAAAGCAAAGGTGATCCACCCCTGCAATATGACCCATCAGTGCTCGAAGACACACCCCGGTTTCAGTCTGGAAGACTCGAATCAGACTGTCCGCACATCCTGTTATGATGACCTCGTGCTGAAGGTCAGAAATCTTATCTTAGTTTCTTGTACCACGAATATTTGCTGCACTATGTTTTTCGCACAACATAATGTTTTACACAGTTAATCCACTTTAGAATATATTCTGTAAAGCGTCTTGAGATGTCTCAATGATGTGATAAGGCACAATTTCAAATGCAAGGATTATTATTATACTCCATTTTTAATCAATCTAGGCAATGGAATAGTTTCCCTGTGTTTGCATTGCTTCCCAGCATTGGAAACAGACTCTCCAAGTTAATGTAAAGCAGGAGTTAAACAGCAATAAAGCTCCCATTGCCTCATCAGTCTGCTTTAAACTTGTTGTGTGAACGCTTTGAGTCATCCTCTCAACATGAAAAACATGATGTCAATAATAGTTATTTTAAAACCATTCTTAGAAAAGATTTCACCAGCAACGACTAACAGATTGCATTTATACAGCGCCTTTCACATCGGGAGGATGTCCTATGGCGTTGGACAATGAGGGGTTTGCACCCGAGCTGTGGGTTGGGATCGGAGAGGGGTGGAAGGCAAGGTGGAGTGAAGGAGGGAAGATGACCGAAGGAAAGGTCGAAAAGGAAGGTCTTGAAATGGGCTTTAGAGACATTTGGAATGCACCAATGGGCCTTTTCCCATTTCTGGCATTACCTGCCCAATTGCCAGTGACAGTGACAGCTTGTAAAGGCTGCACCATTCATTCCCCAACTGTACATTTTTAAGAATCTGGTTAGCTCTATTCTAGTTGTCAAAAAACCTTCTGTCAAAATTGTGTTGCAAAGATCCTTTGGAAAAATAGTAACAACTATGAATGTCGTTGGCATATCTATTCTGGTTTATTTCTACCTTAATGCAAACCGATGTGACGGCATCTGTGTGGCTGTCCAAGATGTGCAGGCAATCCGCAGTGACCACATCCCACACACGGGCAGTTTTGTCTGTACTTCCACTGACCAATCGTTTCCCTGAAAGAGAGCAGAATATTTATTACAGTGGAAGCAATTCAAGATCAAATCCCTGTTAAGATCAACTGTTTCTCAAAGTAGATGGAAAGTGCAGAGTTCAAGTAATATTTCATGTTATTTTATAAAGATAAAAAGGGATGTGACACGAGACTTAATGGTACAGCTCTGATCAAGTGAAGCTTCCATAGTGGTCGACTAAGGAGCAGGTTACTCCTTGACAATTTAAAGATGTCTGTGCAGATGTCTGCACACTACAGTACCTCACCCTCCTTATTGGCAAACAGAGTGGCTGTGAGAGGATAACAAATTGGTCCGAAATAGGAGTAAATAGGAGGAAATTTCTGGATTGTCAAGTGTATTTTGAATTAATCGGGTGATAACACTTTCTCGGCTACAGGATTTGTATCCATTTGGATTGCTTAAGTACAAAACTTTTGTTTGAACCAATATTTGTACTGTAATCAAATTTTTTGAAAGTAATTACAAAACGTCATTTGAAATATTTTATGTTAAAAGTATGATTAGAATAATCCTTCCATTCCGCATGATTGAATCTTAAATCTTCTTAAAACGCACCAAGGTATCAATATCCAAAACAGCTCCAATTATATTCATTTACTTAAACCATCAATTTGTACAGTTTTTGTGAATCAGAATCAAGAAGATTTTGTAGGTTCAAATCTGCGTGCAGATAGATATCTGCTTATGTGTATGTCAATTCCAAAGCAAACATTGCATTTCATTGCTCAATCCATATCCGTTCATCTCCTGTTCTGTGCCCCTGTTCACTTTGACATATCTCAATGACATGATAAGGCACTAAATCAAATGCAAGGATTATTATTATTACAATTAATGCTCTAGTTTCATAACACAATGCGGTAAACATAAATAGAGGATGTGAGTGTCAGGTAATTTGTAAGGGGAAAGGGAAAGACAATGATACCAGACTGACATAAGGGTTTATGGCATTAAATGGTTGATATTGCTGTATGTAAAAACAATGGTTGCATTAGGATATGTGAAAAGAAAAAGTTACACACTAACAGAAACATTATAAACCAATGCTTAAACGTTTTCCTCCATGATAACTTAACTGCATATTTGATGCTCTTGAAGTACTTCTTATCCTTATAGTAGAATAATAACTCACCATCACAGTCAATGCAGGCTACTCGTTCCTTATGGCCTCGAAGTGAACGCAAAACTGTATACCTGCCCAATATCCAGTTTTGCTTCAGGTGACACGCTCGCTTGTAAATTTCCTTCCAGTAGCAAGTTGGGGCCAGGGATGGGAAATTAGAACAATCAGCACTTGTGTATCTGGGAGATGTGAGTCCTACAAAATGAATAGTTCATCAATGGATGTTAAAAACAGAAAGTAACATGGATTGTTGCTCCAAATTAGTTCTGATATTTTCATAGAAACTTCAAACTTATGGAATCGTAGAAATTTACGGCGCAGAATGAGGCCATTCGGCCTATCAAATCTGTACCAGCTTATAGAGCAAGATGTTCATTAAATCTACTGCCTTATCTCCATATCCCCTCAAGTCTCTATCTTTCATATACTTTGTCTACTTCCCTCTTTAAACCCACAATGGACTCTGTTTCTACCACCTTACTTGACAACAATTGCAACTTCAATCTACAGTTATCATCTTTCTTATCTTCTTTCTTATCTTCTTATTTTCCTATCTATGTGTCTGTCTGTCTGTCTGCACCATCTATCCTATCTTTCTTATCTTTCTTATCTCATGGAGTACTGTAACTTAGTGGTTAAAGCATTTGCCTCACAAGACCTGGGTTCAATTCCTGGTAGGGCAAAAAAAAGGGCAAGTTTCCTTATTCCACACATCTCTGTTTACCTAACAGTAAGTAGGAACTCAGTTGTTATTCGATTGGTGGAAGTAATAAATCTGAGAGTAATAATTCTTTCAAAAAAAATTTCATCACTTAATCCTCAACTGTTTGTGCGACTCTGCTGTGCCCAATTGGCTGCCGCATTTCACCCACAAATCATAGTCAGTTCACTTTACAGTAAATTCTGTGAAGTGCTTTGAGACATCTAGAAGACATGAAAAGGCAAAATATCAAATGCAAAGATTATTAATATATTATTACTTATTTATTTACACAAAATATACGGTCAATCCACTCTACAATATATTCTGTGAAGCGCTTTGAGATGTCTCAATGACATGATAAAGTGCTATATCAAATGTAAGGATTATTATTATTACAATTAATGTGGTAAACATAAATAGAGGATGTGAGTGTCAAGTAATATGTAAGGGGAAAGGGAAAGACAATAATACCAGACTGACATAAGGATTTATGGCATTAAGTGGTTGATATTACAGAATGTAAAAACAATCTTTCCATTTGGATACATGAAAAGAAAAAGTTACACACTAACAGAAACATTATAAACCAATGCTTACACGTTTTCCTCCATGATAACTTGACTGCATATTTGATGCTCTTGAAGTACTTCTTATCCTTATAGTAGAATAATAACATTAACAATCCTTGCATTTATCACTTCGTTGGGACATCTCAAGAGTGCTTCACAGGATATACTGTAAATTGGATTGACCATGTATTTTTTGGGCGAATGCAGCAACCAATTTACGCACAGCGATGTCCCACAAACAGCCATGGAGTGAATGACCAATTTTATTTGGGGGATTGTTGGCCAGAATACAGGGAGAAAATCCCTTATCTTTTCAAATAGTGCAGTGGGATCTTTAACGTCCACCTGAACAGGCAGAAAGAATGCACATTCTACCACTCACCATAAGGAAGAACATGGGTTAAATTCAAGAACAGGCAGAACAAGGCCATTCAGCCCATCAAATCCACATGAGCCACCTAGTTTCAAATGAACCCCTTCAAAGAAGCAATCTGATCTGATCTTAACCTTGCAGCTAAGATTCTGTTTACTACAGAAATGCATGTTGTCAGTGATCTGGAAAGTTCTTTATGATCTGGGAACTGACTCAAGCATGCTAGCTAATCTGTGTTTTCTCTCTCTGAGATTATTGCAGAAAGTTCATTATGTGCAACATGATAGGCTCCAGGGAGCAGAGTTCTTGGGTGAGTGAACTCATTGGGCTCAGTACCAGGCAATGAACTAACCAATGAACACATTCAGAAGCCGCTAATTTTTCTCTGAGCGAAGTACGTTATAAACCGACAAAAACATGAATGAAATTACAAATTGAAATAAAATCCATACTTTTAACATTTGTCAAAATTGGTTTAAAAAGTTTTACACCAAAAGGAGGAAGAAACATAAATTGATAACTGATTTATTTTAACTACATTATAAACTCTGTTGAATATTTCCGTTAAATGAGAGTTTTAGAAGTTCTGATGGTCTGTTCACATAACATGACTGCAGTTCTGCTTCAGTGTGTTAGTGGTAAGGAATATTTTATGCATGTACAAATTAATTATTGTTTTCCAGTGCTATGAAAAACAACATAAAAGGCAACTGTGAAAAATAACATTAAGACCCATGAATGGCAACAATGGTGCAGAAATAACTGTATTCCAGAATTGTTAAAATATTCACAGGATTTACTAAAAGGTATAGTGACTGTGTATTTGTGGGTGACTTGCATATTTTTATCTGTCACCTAACTGCATAAAATTTGTATTAAAGGTCAGACCTGAAGCAGAAGTCGAAGATAAATGACACCTTGGAGCGCTTTCGCTTTTACCTGTTAGACTGTAATTGTAGTGACTCTTTGTGAAGAGTTGCTGGTCAGTGTGAAAGTGAAGCCAATTCTGAAGTGCACACAGTGGCTGCCTGTTAAAGAAAGTGCGACTGCAACATTGTAACACGATTTGATCAAGAAATTATTTAAGTTACAAATTTACTGCCTCAAGTTTTAGTTTCAGTCCGTTTCAAATTATTTGAAAACTTTGAAAACTTTCTGAAAGATTTTCTGGAAATCTATAGTATTATAGTATATTTTCCATATGAAATAAATAAAAATAAGAGCATAGGAAGTGCTAGTCAAAAAAAGACCAAGGTCCATCTAGTTTGCCTTCCACCTTCCTGGCGGTCACAAGCACTTATTGCCCAAACTACCTATGTATAAGAATTGCTAGATGAAAAAAGATCAAAGTCCATCTGAAATAATAATCATAATAATAATTATCATTGTCCATAAGGCTTATAAATGCATATTTATACACACATGTACTGTATTGTAATACATCGACTGAAAGAGTGATTTTTTTATTACGAACTTGGGTTTTTAATGGGGCCTTAACACATCAAAACATCTCAAAGACTTAGCAGGCTGTTATTATCAAGTATAATTACTTTTTTATATAGAGAAATGTGGTAGTTATTTGCAACAGCAAGATTTCACATGAGGTGAAAGGCCAATTAATCCAGAAGACATTATCACTTTAAATTGCATCAATTGACAATGTCTTTCATTTAATACAAGTTATAATCTTAACTAAATCACCTTATCTGTGCTTTAATTGGACCTGTACGTGTTTAAGGATAGAAATTCTCTTTTACCATAGAGTGTCAGTGTTTGACATTTCCCGCCATAGTTTGTTACAGTGTGCTACCCGGAATAGATCCTCTGCGGAAAGATATGAAAAGATTTTCTCCACCAGCTCTTGGGGCAGGTTTGCTGCAAAGTCAATAGCGAGCAATGGCTTTAGTTCAGTGTAGAGCTCCCTCAGTTGCAGAGGCTGGAAAGTAATAATCATTAGATCGTCAGACTTCAACTAAATAAATAATAATAATAAATAAAGGACACAATGGGGTCTAACAAT